ACAGTGAATGCTCAGCATCTCTGAAAATCAGTGAAATCAGATTTCAGCCAGTACCTTTGTTCTGAGAGATCTGTTAGAGTGGCTGTTCTAATATGTGCACTGGAAATCATTTTGCTGTGAGTGAAACAGAGCTATCCCTGGGACAGAAAAACAGCAAAAAAGCCATGGGGAGGATACATTTTTTTGACCCTGGTAGTGAAGTAATGCCATACCTGCTAAGATCTTTCCTTTCTTAAATGTTCTCATGTAGCAAGCTGCATAGACCTTATTCATGTTAACAAATGACTTGCTTTATCTTCAGTTTTATCTCCGCTTCAGGGAGCCAAACGACTGTTTCAACATGCTATTTTAACTACTCCTTTATGTCTGCTAACATAGAGGCCTAATGTAGTCATCTAACATTGATAAATGTCATAAGTCAGTAATGTGCTCTGTGGCTTCCCCAGAATGTTTCGCTCTTGTTCTGAGTGTCTGGATACGAGAGACCGAGCATATTTAACTTTCTTTCTGGATCCTTCTGTGGATTCCAGCGTGGTCTAGCTGATGAAATAAGTATTCACTCTACGGCAACTGGTGAAATGTGCCTGTCAAAATGTTAAATGTAAAAACTGCTTTAAGAAGATAATATTGGTTATAATTAACAGGATGGTTTTAACATGGATTTTTTTGTCTTTTTCTTTTCCTTATAATCAGATTGCAGTAGGAAAAATTGTAACCCTAGCAGAAAAGACATGGGACTCAAACTGTCAAAAAAAAATAAAATGCAGTGGGTATTTGTCATAATTGCTGCTGTGAAACGAATTGACATAACTGGAAAGAAACTACCTACAATAGCACTTGGCTTTCATAAAGCTTTCATGATTTAAAGCCCCGCTCTTTAATTAATTTTACTAATAAATTAAATTACAACATCCTGCCAGCCAAATATCATCTCCAAATTGTTGAAAAGAACAATGAGTGACATGCTTGAGGACAAAACCAGAATGGCTGTCATACCTCGGGAAGAGATTTCAGGCATTCCTGGCTTTTAGAGATCACTGGAATATGCCATTCTCTCACGCTGTGCCTCCTCCTGCTCTGTCTGACAGTCAATTTAATATCGCATAATGTCCCTTTTGTCAGAATTGTACACGATGCAGGCTCAACCTGCTGAAATGACGTTAGCAGTACTGAATCAAGCACTGTCATGTCAGAGAGAGTATGGTGATCAGAGTCAGCCCTCTCCACAGTGACACTGAGATCAGGCTTCAGTAAGTAGGTGTGAGGCATGGCTTGTGAAATGTTGTGTATTTTTCCTGAAAGCTATCAGAAATCCCCGGTATAATTGTAAAAGTTGCTTATGTCAATTAGCTAGTGCTCTGGTGGCAAAAGCTTCTTCTGACAGAATGACACATACATTAACACATTGACCCAGGGGCTGGCAGATTCCCTGGGGCCATCGGGGAGGATCTGGAAGCTGTTTTGTGGGATCTGAGTGTTCCTCACTACTCTGTGCTTTTTGTACTAGAGATAGCCACTACACTTTTCCTACTCTATTTCAGTGAACTCTTGCATTTAATCATTAACCTGTGTTGGTGGTAGTTGGGATCGTGATAACTATAAAATATAATTTAACCAGATTAGTATATGCCTAAGGCCAGAATCAAACTTCCAGAGGCTGACAGGAAAAGAAGTCAAAGTGCTGACAAGCTAGTGTAGTGTGTAGTAAGCAAGAATAAACACCAATATATGATTTAAACAATGTGCTAATTAATACAATATAGATACTGAAAGCTCTGGGAAACTGAGGGAGGGCTCCGTTTCCTTCACAGTTTAGAAACAGCCAGAACATACTGTCCTTGAACTAGATAACAGCAGCTCTTTGCCAAGGTAGGGGAGAAGACCCTCTCCATTTGAATCGCTGACTGGTCTTTACCAACTTTGGCAAAGAAAGCTTTCCAAAGCTAGCTGAGATAGCAGGAATTCCAAAAGAAAGTTATAAAATATTTATTTGTCATTCGTTCATCAGTCTCTTCAGTCAGCAGGTCAAACTAAACTAAGTCAGTTCTTTGCATTTGACATACTGGGACAAATAATTTTAAGATCATTTGGACTGATTCTGTGGTGAGCCCTTCAAATGAGACCACTGTGCTATTTTAGTCTAATTTATCATATGAGTGCTAGACTAAAGTAAATTGCTGTACTTAATACCTGTAGGTGAGCACAATAGTTTTCTTTGTAGAAACTAGTTTGAACAACTTCTTAAATGCTAAATGACTTTAGGTGTGAAGGAATTGTGTGCTGAACCGCTTGGTGAAAAATGGTATATTTGAAAAGTTTAGGTGTGGTACAGCCTGATGCATTTCATACTTTATTGAGAACTTTCTGGTTTGGTCTAAGGGGAGTTGATTGGTTCTATCCACTTTAAGTAACTTATTTACATCCTTAGGCCTAGACCATGTTGTATCATATTGTGGGTCTGGGGATTAGTTCTGGTCTGAGCCATATTTGGGTTTTGAGGGCAAAAAAAAAGTAATCCCACTATTAAGCGATTTTTCTTCCTGTTTTTAAACCATTCCTATAGTTCTAGGATGGTAAAATTAATGTCTTTATTAACCATTCTTTACCTGACTGCAGTGAGGGGATCTCTTCTTCCAGAAAAGGTCATTGTGGCATTGGCATGTCAGACAGTTCTGTCTTCATTTTTACTTTAGAGTAAAAAGAGAAATTCTGGTACATGCCTTTGTGTTTTGAGTAAAGGCAATAAGAGGAAATGGAGTGGGGGTGGGGGGAGGAGATTGAAGGAGATGTTCAGAAAAGACAATTTGTGTAAATAAGAGACTAAAAGAATGTGAATAAGACAGAAATTGCTTCTGGGTTTTAATAGCAAAGCGAGAGCATATTAATTTTGTCTCCTTCAGTGAGTTTGTCTGAGTCTGCCCTGGAAGAGGTCAGGGCTGTGCTGGGATGGCCACCCTCACGGTCTAGCAAACACTCTGCTTGCTGGTGGTTGCTCACAAAGAAGTGACACATTCCTTTTGAGCCGTTTAGGTTGTGTGCTCCCAGCTTGAACACTGAAGAAAATTGTGTGAGGAGGAACCGACGGCTGCAGAATTAGTAAAAGAGGTTCACGTGGAACATACCACAGCTCCTGGGCAGGATCCTGTAATCCTAGATGGGATGGCATTATACTGTGCTTTCACATTGGTTGCCCTTTTGTATTCCAGGCGACTATTTGGAGAAGCAAATGCTGTTTGGCATGAGTCTGGCCCTGCATAATTTACATTACTGTTATTGTATTTTATAGCATGCAGAAGAAAGTCTCGGTTCTGAACAGAGTATATGGAAATGTGGCTGCCATTTGTCAGTACGGATTTAATTAGTTGCATTAGCTGTAGCAGTGAAGATTGAGTGAGCAGAATGTGCACACACAGAGGCAGAAACATCAAGAAACAGTTGCTTTTAATGGAGAGCAGTCCAATTTACAATCAGGTTTCATGCTGCTTATTTTCTGACAGTGCAAGTCTGGACTCTTATTGATTCAGACAAATTTGGAAGGGCGGGGGGGGATTTCCCAGAGATGGAACTTGTACAGCTGTAGGTTACCGTCTGATGCTTCTGCTGTATCCAGCTGTTGTATTAGTATTTATTCTAGCACAACACTGCAGAATTTTTAAAAAACAGGGAAAGAAAAAAGTGACAGAACCAGAATGCCTCACAGTAGTTAACTCAACAAAGCCTGGCTGGCGCAGTCAACCATTTAAACACCTGCTTAAATCTCAACACGTTCAAAATTCAGCAAGTCACTTATGCATGTGCTCTAGAGCTTTGCTGGTCTGGGCCAAAGGACTGGGGAAAAGGAGATTTTTTTTCAGTACTGGAAGAATTATGAGCTTGATCACCTGCAATTTGTCTAGTTTATATACCTCAGCAAAACAGGTGTAAAGAGCACTGCATCACAACAGTAGCCTCTTAGAACACTGATGTGTGCATATAATTGACTGCAACATGAGTGAGAGATGCAGACTTGGAGTACGTTGCCCCAGTCTCTGCCCAGGTATTTTCCTGGAAGTGCAGAATAGCCAAATTCAGACCTGAGAGAGATGATTGCAACTCCTTTGAAATCAGAATTACGAACACATACCCTAGATCTGAACTTGACCTTAAGCCAATTTGTATTTCCAGTTGAAATATGTTGGGGAAACCAGTGGGATTTTTTTTCCCCTTTTTGCATGGAATATTTTGATGACAAAGTTTATTTCTGGTGGTAAAACGCATGACAATATTAAAATGAATGCAACTAATTATGATTGAACAGGCGTGGTATAAACCTGCCTACAATCTCTGAGAAACGAAACTTAGCTGGCATGCCGCAGGTACTTCTCAAGCAGGAGGGGCTGCTTTTCTAAATAGACTGTATTTATTATGGGTGGCTGGGTATCTGTATTCTGGCTCAGTTCCCTGTAGTAAGGAACTGACCACATTACTATTTGCAAACACAGGGTTCACTCAAGTGGCACTAAAAAGAGAAGAGGTGGGGCAAGCAGAGCTTTAAAAAGAAAAGAGGAGCCCGTCCAAGTTTGTATGTAAGAAGCAACTGCATTTTGGAGAAGCTCGGTACCTGGAGATCTCACTCCCTATACTCCACTGAGGGCTGTGGTGAACAGTTTTCCAAATTCGCTGTTTTTAAGATTTAAACAGCAGCTTTGCTTGTTGCGAGGAAATTAGCAGTGATCCTTGCGAGCATTGCTTTTAAGCTGTGTTAAATTTGTGGCAAGAGTGTCAGGCATTTCATACTTGGCTTCCAAAAAAGAAAAAAAAAAAAAGAAACGAAAGAGAGAGAGGAAAAAACAACGTGTGTGTGGAAGAAATCTCCCAGGAATTTCTTCAAGGTTGTAGTCAGACACAGTAAGGGCTAAAGTGACAAGAAAAGCAAGGCAAAGATAAAACTTGGTATTGTGATAAGATGTCTGAGTGTAAAGTGGGAGATTGCAGAAACCTTTTGGGATTACACATGCTCATCTTGTCCTGGATATGACTGAATACAAGCTAGTTTTTCTCTCGTGACAGTTCAAAAAAACCTCAAGATTATGTTTCTCTTCCTTGTCGCTTTTTTGCCAGTGGTTTTTAAAATTGGTTTTGTCAGCCTCTCAGCTCTGCAGCACTGGAACTGTCCTAATGGATACAGATTAAAGACTGAAAACTCTGCTTGTATAGGTAAGTTGCTGACCATTCACAGATTAAGAAAACTACATTTGTATTCTCTTACTTGAGCTTTATAATTTTCAAAGAGTTTTTTTACAGATTGCTTGTGTGTTGTACTGGCAGAATTGATAAATCAGCTTCTTGATATCTTTTGCTTCTCATAATGAACAGAACTAATTTTATTTAGTTTGTTTTTCAGAAATCAGTCACTGGTCTGTCAGTTTAACTATCAGAAAGCAGGATAAACTTTTATATGATCATTAAGAGATCTGAACTGTTCCCTAGTTACCAAAATTCCTCGCCATAGCTTTAGTGTCTCTGTACTTTCAATACATGTGCATGCACATATTCATGCTTCTGTATATGTAAAGTTTGTGTATAGATGTATTGTTGTTTCTCTGTATGCATATAGAAAGAGTATTTTAATGATTATGTATTAGTATATATTTAGATGTGGGCTGGATAACTTTAAAAACTATTCTATGTTTATTGGTGCATGTGGATATGTGTGCTTATATTTAATATGATGTCTCATAAAATACATGAATCTCAGGTGTGTTTGATACTGTAGTACTAAAGTCTGGGTGAAATGTGTGACACTAATATTAGTAAAATCACCCCAAGTGATTTGGAACATGTAAAATGCAGGTTCCTATTCTTTACAAAGTGTAAGACAAAGAATGACAGAACCCTTCTCCCTACCCTGCTACCTTGAAGTCCAAGTTTTTTTTGAAAGCCAGCACCAATGAAGTTGTGGGCTTTGCAGTAAGAAGATGCGGAAATGCTCTGTAGTGATTCAAGCAAACAGACCTAATACTTGGAGTTAATGCTTTTGCCTTAAATTGCTTGGGCTTCAGAGGCTCAGACTCAGTTCTTGACATGATTCCAGTGATTTAATAACAGGTGCCTCCTCTGTGCATTCTGCCAAGAAATACCATCTTGAAAGCAGAAAATAGAAGTATGCATGTTAAATGCTCTCGTATTGAGAGAGGAGGAGCTAGGCATTTTTTGTGTACAAATTATAAACCTGACTGAAGGTTTAATTGAGAGCCAAACACACCTAGGGTGCTTCCACACTGATGCTTGAATTCAAATGAGGAGCAGCATACTTCTGAAATGCATCTCCATACTGTCACCTCTTACTATGCTTGTCTTCACATTGCAGAGCACTCTCAAAGTGCACAAAATGGATTCCCTTTAGGCCAACCTAAACCAGAAGCTGTTCCCATAGGAGAGCATCTATCCTCTCTGCTGTTGATGGCCATTCAGTCCATGGGACCAGACTAGACCTGGTTCTCCGTAAACTCAACCTGAAATATATGCAGTGTGTATGTCATATCCTCAGCAACTGTTGCAGTTTACACACCCTCTCCTATAGGTCCATGCTATTTACTGATATGTACGTAGCTTCCACAAGTTAATTAGGATGTGCATTTGTTATGACTTCTACATTACAGGGTTGTCCAATTAAGAGCTCATGTATAACAAGAGAATCCTACTGACATGAAGGGAATTGCTTGGCTAGTGTTTAATGAGTCAAAATGTACTCTAAATATTGACATTCAAAAGGCTGCAAAGATGTATTTGTTATTTCAGTTGACATATTTTGTATACTGGTGTACTTTGCTCTTCCATTAATGGAGATATAACCTGCCCTGCATAATGTGTTTTCTGTTGAAAATTAGATACATTCAGCTGCTGTACGAATGAGGGGAATTAGGTAAAGCACCAAAACAGAATGGCCAGTAGCTCAGCAAACTCCGCAGGAAATAGTAATAGAAGTTGTCTTTTACATAAGAGCTAACATTACTATGACATACTCTGAGCAATTCCATGTAACATAGCATAAATGAAAAATGAGATGTGCTAAGGTATCTTTTTAATTAGAGACCACTGGGTTACAGGGGATTAAGCAAAGGTGAAATTTTGACATGAAATGTAAGACTGAAGGATGCTTTGATGGAATGGATTTCCCCTGTTCTTTCCTCTGCGTGCTGGATACACGTCGTGTTCTGAGCAGAAGAGCGGATGTATGATATTCTAGTTCATTAACTATGTGAGATGGAGGGTGCAGTGGAAGCAAGTGGTAGGAAGCTGGAGGCAGACTTTGAAGGTAATAGAGGGGATAAAAGTGGTGAGTGGGAGACATGACTCATACCACTGAACTGTGAACAATGACAGCAAGCTGAACTGTGGCTTGGCGACCATTCTTGCTGAACTGTAATAAATATATCAATTGTAAAATGTTCTTTATCATCTGTGACCGTGGTGGCATCCTGCCAGCCATAAGGACTACCCTGAATTGAGAAGGTGTCTGCCCTTGGTTAGGGCACACACTTACTGGAAAGTGTGTAGGCTTTTCTAGATTTGTTTTCCATATTGCCACTACAGATAAAGGTCTAGGTCGTGCTCTTCTTACATTGCTAAATAGCTTACTTCTTAATTAGTTCCTTTTATTTCTAGGGATATCCAAAGATCAAAGACCTTCTCATCCTGTGGAAGGATAATGAAATCTAACCCTAAATATCTCACATAATTTTATACAGTTATTTTAAGAGAGATTATTTGATTCCTGACTTGGTATGCCAAGAGAGGAGAGGCCTTTCAGAGGGGCCGCTGTGTCCCACAACAGCAAGGTTTATAAGACAGAAAGTACGGTAGAACAGATCATGAGGTCAGAACAAGACTAGTCTGGTGAATGAACATACCAATTTATTGGCAAGTTATGGTAGAATTGGAAGCATTTCTGCCAGTTTTGACATTGCCATCTTGATTTAATAATTTATTTTAAGCTGATGTCAGGACTGGGGACTCAGTTACCTTTAAATAACTAACCTGTCTTAGACCTGGTGAAAACATAGAACCTTCTACATCTAAAGAAAAATGATCTGGGCTACACAGGAGTTATTATTCCTACAAGGTAAAAACATGTGCATATTTGATCCCGGGAGAGCTTTGATTTCTAACATATTTGACCGGGTAAGCATACCTGGTACATCAGGGGATGCGCCTTATGCCTGTTGAAATCAGTTGCCTGTGTCCTCCTGAAGTACGGCTTTATCAACACTATTTTTTACTCTCTAATGATGTATAGATGCTTTTCCCACTCGAAACCAAAAAGTTTCCCACATGGCACTGTTTATCTGAAAAAGTGCCTAAGCAGCCCCCTGCATTTTCAATTTTAGACTAGATACTAGTGACTGTTAGTCTTGGGCTACCCTAGGTAAATATATCATGTACTGGATACTGCAAGACTGGAGGTGTACTTTGGCTTCAGGGCTGACTTTGAATACTCACTTTGTAAGTCTTAAAAGTGAAGGAAGATAGTTATTTAAAAAAACCCCAACGATATTGTAAAAAAAGCTTTTGAAGAAGGCAAAACATGATCCACATTATTGAAGTTTTACCTAATCATAGGTTCTTAAATTCTGCACATCTCTACTAACTTCTGACATTAACTGATCAGACTTTGTCACTTCTTCAGGGCTAACATGCTGCACATTCCTACAGAGCTACAGCCTGCAACTGAAGGTGACAACTGCAGCTATCTAGGTCAGCCCTTTTGGTCACATGCTTCTTTCTGTGTCTCAAGCTTTCCTCCTTTCTTTCTTGCTGTTCACCACTCTCCTGCCATGGAGCACTGGTGGTGCAGAATATTAAGTTATTCTGCTTTGTATTACATCTTTAAATCCACTTTAATTAGCTAAATCCTGGCTTCACTTTGCTCCATACAGCCTTCTGAAGACACACTGTTAGAACTTCTTATGTTGTATTCTGAGAAATATGAAACGGCCAAGCCTTACTAATTCACAGCTATCCTTTCTTCACAAGTGTCGCATAAGGAGCAGTAAGAGCCAATGAAATGGGGAACTGTGTTGTCTACCCCTGTCATGACATAGGGATAAACCTGTTGAGATCCCACTCTATCCCTCCAGAAAAGCTGCAGTCGACGCATGCTTGTTTCCTTGCTTTCAGTAGCTGTCTTCCAGCTAGCTCACTTCATATTATAATGCCTTAGGGAAACATGCTTGAAAATATTGCTGCCAAATAGTAGTCAGGAATTCTTGAACAGGGGTCTGAACCCACAGACCAATTCAGGAGAAGATTCCCATTGAATTCTCTGGAAATTGGATACAGCTGAATGTGGACAAATACTATCTTTAGCTGTAAAAACTTAGATCAAAATAGGGAGGAGGCAAATAAGTTACAAAAATGACAGAAATGGTGTCACATATCACATGAAGCTTAATCCTGAAGAGGACTTAGGGGCAGACTCCAGGACCAATGACTAATACTGCAAGACTCATCATTGTTTTGCTCAGTGGAAAATAGCAGATATTAATTTTGTGTTCTGTTTTAAATAAAACTGACTACTTTCTAGTATCTAAATTGAAACCTGATTTTAGAGGGAGCTGGATGACAGTATTTGCTGATGCCTTTCAAAGAGGGCCAGATGATAGCCTTATGAACTTCATCTTTGAAAGTCAAGCCCGTAACAGTATGTTGCAAGTTGCCTGATCTGGGAAGTGGTGGTCCATTTTGTAGTTACTAATTTGCACATAGAATTTATTTCAAAGACAAAACCAATATATATTTTTTTTCCATTATAGTGTCCAAACCCTTGAGATCTGAGTCCAGAAAGGTAAAAAATGAAAGATATTGTAGTGCCTTGATCTTTTTTACCATTTCTCTTCAAGATATCTACAAGTGGTTTCTGAATTTTATTTCAATTCTAAATTTGATTCTACTTTATACTTGATTAAATCATATGATTGCTCTCACTGTCATATCTGTGATATGACCACCTCTGTGGCTCTGGACTGGAAGAGTCTGGGAGTTGATAACCACCTTATTGTAATCACATTGTATTTCTTACCACGATATTTGAGCACTTCACAGGCTCTATCCTCTCAAAAATTGAGTGATCAAGTTGTACTTTAAACCTCTTTCAAAATTAGCAAGAGAAGATACTGAGCCATGTCTCACCTATTTTATTGTGACCTGCTGATGAAGCATCTTTTTCCATTTCTGGGTATTTTTTTTTCTTTAAGCTGTATGCTTTTAACAAAATAGATAAAAGGGATGGGCTGCTTTCTTTGTAAGCCAGATGAAATTTGGGTGATGAAACCTTATTGAAAAGATTATGGTGGTGGCTAGATATAGCAGATTGAATTAATCCCCAGTCCAACTCCACAGAAACCAAATTTGAGTGAGGTTATTTGAGTGTGTGTATCTGCACATGTATATTTTATGTATATAATGTATGTATTTGGGGCCATAATGAAACGCAAGTTCTGGTTCACTGTGGTTTCTCTGTATCCCCGCCAGGCATACTAATGCTTCACCTTCTGCAATCAGAGCATTTCTCAGGACTCTCAATAAAGTAGCATATTTGTATGCAAAGTCATTGAGAGCTGCCAACATCATGATGACATGATTCATCGTTTTTGCTGATTCTCAAGGCATTTTTTGCATAAAGAAGCCTTTGAGAACTGAGCAGAACCTCATTCTTCCTTTCAGGGCTGGCTGTCAGGGCGCTGCAGACAGCTTTTGTGTTCACTAAGCCGATTTCTTTCACAGGGTAAAGTTCCCACTGGGGGATGTGGTTGCCAGGACACGTAAAACAGCTACAGCAGGATGCAACTTCGTGCTTTGCTTTGGCACTAAGAGTGCAGGTGAAGGCACTGCTAGTTACACCTGATGCATGGTTTTATGATCGAGTTCTCCTAAACCTTAAGAAACAGCCTTTTTTTTTTTTTTTTTTTTGGTACTTTAAGCAAAGAAGAGAGCATGTTAAGCATAGGACCCCCTTCCATTGTTAGTGCCATAAAAGCTGAATGATCACAGCGCTGCGGCGTGTTTTACAATAGCGCTGTGTCTGTTGGCGCTTCCTGTTTACCACTGGAAGAGGCATTCTCTGGTGGCCAAGCTGCCTGTCGCTGCTGTGCCCCTTGTCTTTATGGGGCGGTTATTCTTCCACTACAGCCTTTCTTCAGCTGGAGCGGTTGCTTGCTTTTCAGTATGTGTGGGATTTGCTTTATTATGTGAACTTTGGTGGTGGTGAAAATGGGCAGACTGATAACTCTGAAATCCTTTCTTCAAGTACAATTACTGGGGAGGCAGTGTAAATTCTTGTAGCCTGATCAATCAGCGTGCTCTTTCATGGAGAGTCAGTTTTGTACACTCATAAAGAGCTGGAAAATCCGTCCTGCAAATAACAGGTCATTGTCTAGTTACCTTGGTACATAGCTCAGTAACCTGTGCTTGGCTAAAGCATGTCTTCCCAGTCTGATCTTGACTTGAGAATATCCACTGATGTTTTTCACATCGTCACAGTTTTTCTCGGTAGCTAGTCCCCTTAGTGAATCATACTTCCTGTTTAATGCGAATTGAATGTCTAAATTTGATTCCCCTGGCTTCAGTTCTCAGCCATCAGTCCTTGTTAAATCTTTTCTGCAAAAGATTATAATGTCCTTTAGAAAACCTGGTACTTTTTCTTTGTGAAGGTATTTATATACTGTGACCAATCTTTTTCCCAAGCTTCTTTCTGATAATCTAAGCAGACTGAACTCTAAGTGTGTCACCAAAAGGCACTTTTGCTTACCCTCAGATCAGGCTTTTTATCCTTGTTGTATACACCTTCTAATTTTTCAGGATCCTTTAACAACCTATATCTGAGGAATACAAACAACATGCCAATATAGTCTGACCACTGCCATATACAGAAGTAAAATTATTTCCCCACTGTTCATGTCTCCTGTGTTTATATGTGTTATGATTTGAATTTTCTTGCCCAGTAACATGCTAAGAAGTCAGTTTTCTGTCCAGTATGAACACAAATCCTTTCAGAGTAAGCAGACTTCCAGGTATAATCTGTAGGTCAGGCCTATCTTTCTTTTTCTTATTTAATGTGCTCTTTATTGTGACTGAATAATAGTTCTTTCATCAGTGTTTCACATTGCTTAGTCAAACAATCTGTCTTTAGCAATCTTACATCTACACAGTTGCCTTTATCACCCATACTTGTGATTTCCTCAGAGAAATAAAATCAGGTTTATTTAACAAGCCACTATTATCATAAAAGTATATTGACTAACATAAACTACATTATAGCCTTTATCAACAGTCTTGCACCTGCTTGTGTACTGGTGAAAAGATCAGATTAACTGTCCAGCTTAGTCAGCCAGTTACTCCAATTGAAAACCAGTGCATCAGGGAGAGATACAAACAGTAGTGTTCATGCCTGCAGACTCCCTCACATCTCTGTTAACAGTGACAGCAGCTGTGACAATGAGCTGAGGTTGTCAAAGCCCTCCTGTATGGGCTATCAAAGTGCCCTTTAGTTTTAATGACATCCAGGCAATGTTAGCCAGGCGTAGCTGGTTTTAAACTGGTAACCTGGAGCTCACGGTTTCTGTAGCCCATTAACAAACTTCTAAACCAGTCAAACCTTTCTAGAAGGGATTTGGAGGAGTTACTCCTTTAATGCTGTGGAGAATGGCATGTACATCCCAAGTACGTGTGGGAAAATATGCTCCTGAAAGCTGATTGTTTGAAGAAGATTGTGGGTTAGAATTAGAGTGCTTTATGGAATTAAATTGCTGAAAATGCTTCTGCTTTACCTTCATAATCTATTCAACAGAAATCAGTTGCATGTACATTGTCAAATTAGTTCATCTGTTATGTGGAACATAAAGTTGTGGGAAAACTCTGAAAACAACATGAAAACTTTCCCTAGTCTGTACAGACATGTCAGATGGCTGTAAAACACTGACATTTTTTTGAACAACTTTGATACCTGACACAGAAGAAACCCCTAAACACTTCTGCACATAGTTTCTTAAAGCAGTTAAAGGAGACAGGTTCCCAGATGCATGGGATATCAGAGATCTGGTTGCTTAGCTCTCCCTAGGTTACTGAGAGAGAAAGTTTCTTTCAAAGTGCTGGTGTGAGTTGGTTAAATTGCAGTTCCTCGTAGTTATCATGAGGTGCCATTTCTGACCTTCTTTGAATTAGGGGAATCCACACCTAACACTCACAGACCTCCTGAAGCACTGTGATAATTGGCACTTGATTCAAATGATCATATAAGTTATCGAAGGAGAAGTTCTTCTTCCATTGCCTTAAATTCTTGATCACGAATACAGAAAAAAAAAATTGTTGTGAGCTATACTTGGAAAAAACTCAATACGTATATGTAGTTCTGGTTATGAATTGATGTCCTTTAGTGACTTAATCGAATGTGTCTCTAAAATAATTTCTGTTGATTTCCTTTTTTCCTGCATGTGCAAAGTCAGACAATAAAACCCAGAACAAAAGCCACTGACATAAAATAGATCTTGGGCAGGGAAAAAGCTGCTCCTTAGAGCAACCCTCGCAATGGTTATACAAGAAATATACCAGGATATGGTACTGCCAGATGTTAAGCACCTTGGGAATTTACTATCGGATGCATTTGGTTTTAGTAGGAACTGAAATTTATCTAAATTTTCTGGGACAATCATCCATGGTACTGCCAAAAGGGTTAATTTCTTTTGCCCTTAGTGTAAAATATGCTACTCGGTGGTGACCTTTTTTTGAAAAATAAAGTCCTTAATTTAGGACTTAATTAATAGTTACTGCCTCAAGCCCTGATAAAACACCAAAAATACATCAAATATCTTTTAATTCCTAAAGGCTCTAGCCTAATCTACAAGTTAACCCCCCAATTTCTAATTAGTTTGCTTGTTGCTTTGGTTTGGGCTTGTTGCTATCAGAATATAGTGGGCTTTTTAGTGTTTTGTATGTGTTTTTGAGATTTGACTCAAACCAAAATGAGCTCAATATGGAACTCAGTGCTGTGGCAGTCTGTCTGCTGCTTTGCTGTTTTGCAAAGTTTGTTAATTTGTTGGCAGAATTATTACTGTGGAAAGAGGGATAAAGATAGAAGGAAGCAGCTGCAGGCAGCATTTGCACAGCAAACGATAACGCAAATCACAGAAATGGAGTACAAGACAAGTCTGTTCCCTGTGTTTGGGCAATCACGGAGGGACCAGAGTGCCCAGACACTCGGGAGAATGGCAATTTCCCTGGACAGTCTTCTTAAAAAGAATAACAATCGCTGTGCGTGTGACAACGGACAAAACAATAATTCTGAAATGAATGCCTGAAGCAATACAGCCATCCTCCTCTCCTTTTTTAATGATGGGATATTAAATTTTGTGACCAATTATTATTAGATAACTATGTCAAGGGTATCCTTTCTCTTTGCTCTTTGCTGCTTTTGCTGGCTGAATTTTCCTGATCTGTTCAAAACCATGTTTCAGATATTGATGAATGCCTTGAAGGTGGTTTGGGAACCTGTGGCCAAACCTGTATCAATGTTCCAGGGTCCTACATCTGCTCCTGTCAGCCCGGCTACACTTTGGATATTGACAAACGGTCTTGCTATGTGAACGGTAAGGTCATTTTCTTTTTTGATGACTAAAAAAGAGCTTTAGAGATTTAGTTAGCATTATTTTTCAAAGTGAACCATGCCCAGCTAGTTCCTACTGGACAGCAACTGGGGTGCTCTTGTTTGCTGATAGAAAAACTGCCTCTTCTACTGTGTGGGTACATGGCAAGGCCAAAAGTGGGTGCCACAGAAGAGTGATGGTGAAGAATGGGAAGTATGGTGGTGGAGAGATGAATGAACAGATGAAAACAAACAAATAAAACTAAACAACGACTTCTTGTTTAGTAGACATACTCTCCCTGTGCGCTCAGAACTGTAAACTTTCTTACCCCATCCTTACTACTTCCAGGAAAACATGGCACTACACAAGATTTTGCTACCTTTGCCTCTTTCAGTCTGTTGGTGTTGATGTCTTTCCAGTGTGTTTAGGTTCACAGTGCTGTGAAATTGTAAGCAGGAAGTCCTTATTTTTCGTTTGGTCCATTGGCAGTTTCTGAATAAACATGAGTGCTACTGTGAGTTCTTTCTCCCCCTTGCTCTGTCCTGAGTGTATAAACTGATTTTTGAATGTGTAAGATGCATTTACATTTTAAAAGTTTTTAGCCCCTCTAAGAGAAAAATATCCACAGTTATGGCCTTTGAATATCCTTCATTTTGTCCTCAACTGATGCTACCCAGGGAAAAAAATCTAGTTGGATTTTATTGATTGGTATAACCCTATATTGCATCTAGAATATGAGGTGGGAGTGCTCTGAAGTTCACCTCTCACTTCTCCACCTTGGTTTCCTGAATGTCTGGTTTTGGTTCCTGTCTGGGATATGCTTTGGATCCAGGAGTTCAGGTTTTCTTTTTCTGACTAATGTTTACCTGGGACTCTTGCTAATGCAGAGATGGGATGTGACAGGGCATGTTTCTGACCCAAGAAGTAAGTAGGAGATGTACTTGAGTCCCTGTGCACGTAGCCTTTGGGACCATGAACATAACCAAAAGTATTCTGCATAGCTCCCAAATTGGCACCAACAGGATCACTTCAGTCAGCTCCTAGAATCATCATTATTGACAGCAACACATGACTCACAAAGACCCGAGCTGGATTTTTTGTACTCCTGCCTAAACATCTCTAGCCCCTTAAATAGTATTTCTAATTTTTTTTTTAATCAAATGTTTTGTAAACTCTTCACTTCTGAACTGAAGAGAAGTGAAAACAAACATGTTACCTCACAGTGATATCTGTGCACAGGTATCTTTCAAAGAACAATCCTACCTCAATATTGGAGGACTTCAACTTTTTTTAACATTATTACTAACATTTATAGCATGAGTAGAAAGTGACTGATGGTTCAGGAGCTACTGTAATAAATAAGGAACCCTCATGCTAGGAATAAACCCTTTCGTTGGGGGTACACCAAGTGAAATACCCTCATGTTTTAAAGACAGGAAACTCTTTGGTGCAGGTGTTGTTCATTAAACCCCTGATAAAATTAAGTCCCAAATCTGACTGGTGCCTCTGCAGTCAAAGTTACATATGTTCGGTCCCTGTTCCATTTACAGCCCTCATTCATGGGTGCCTGATAAGAAATTCAGAGAGTGGAAAGGACAAAACCAAAGTATATAAATGCTCTTGGTCAACTAATTGGCAAAAATGCAGGCAGTACAGCTGTCAAATTCCTGAGATAAACCAACCTTGCTACACTTCACCATTCATTTACCATTTACATAAAGCAAGTCTTCATAGTTTAAATATTCTCACATGGGGTTGCTCAGTGCAAATAGCAGCAGAAAAAAAGGAATCACTATAAATCCTAGAAGCAGCTGTTATAACTGGGTGATAGCTTGAAAACTTGAGATACAAACCAGTCTGTTAGTATAGAAATAGGGCGCTGATCATCTTCATTGTGAACAGAAGAAAATTACGTCTTGGGTACTTGTTGGAACTTTCTTCACTTGGAGAAACCAAAATTGGTCTCATTCCTCTGCTGTGAAAGGTGTTAAATCAAACAGCTTTGCAACTGTGATGAAGGTGGAGCATCTGGCTAAAATTTGTAGAAGTGATGTCTATTGAGTTTAAAGCCTCAGGTTTCATTCTAATAGTGAAGATATTTAGTTAAAAGGTTGCAAAACTGGTCAATAAAACCAATTTAATTTTCAAAAGTATATGTGCAAGAAAACTGATGATAGTGCATCTTTGATGACATCCATCCCTGATAAATGGCGAGTTGCTTCTGCATTGCAGGAAGATCAATTCAACAAGTGATTAGACAGGCTTGAAAGCTGTCATTCTGTTGGTTCTGTATCAATAATTGCATTTCAAAGTCACTTGGTTAGAGCATTACTTGTATGCCATGATCTGTCGTTTCAGGCAACCATGTTATAAATCCCCACCATTGCCACCACAATGGGCTTTCTTTGAATTTTGTTTTAGTGGTAAATTAAAGACTAGGCTGCATACCCCCAATTTTTTATTTTTTTTTAATTAGGAACACCACCCCCACCCCCACTTCTTCTTTGTTTTGGGTTTGTGTGGTGGGGTTTTGGTAGCGGGGGAGGGGCTGCAGGGGTGGCTCCTTTGAGAAGGTGCTAGAAGCTTCCCCGGCTCCAAGTCGGACCTGCCTCTGGCCAAGGCCGAGCCCATCAGTGATGGTGGTAGCGCCTCTGGGAGAACAGATTTAAGAAGGGGAACCGGTAGTGAGTGGGGGGATTGGAATGTGAGAGGAACCCCTCTGCAGACCCCGAGGTCAGTGCAGAAGGAAGGGAGGAGGTGCGCCAGAGGAGGGGATGCCCCTGCAGCCCGTGGTGAGACGGCAGGCTGTGTCCCCCCAGCCCATGGAGGGGAGCGGGGGAGCGGATGCCCACCTGCAGCCCAGGGAGGACCCCACACCGGAGCAGGTGATGCCCCAAAGATGGCCGTGACTCCATGGGAAGGCCCGCACTGGAGCAGTCTGTGACTGAAGGACTGCACCCCGTGGAAGGGACACACGCTGGAGCAGTTCGTGAAGAACTGCAGCCCATGGGAAGGACCCATGCCAGAGAAGTTCATGGAGGACTGTCTCCTGTGGGAGTGGAGTTGAGCCAGGAAGAAGGGAGGGGAGGGGGGAAGGTGCTTTAAAATTTGGTTTTACTTCCCATTATCCTTGTTTTTTATTTGATTGGTAGTAAATTAAATTGATTTTTTTTTTCCCCAAGTTGAGTCTGGTTTTTGCCTGTGACCATAAGTGGTGGGCAATCCCTCCCTGTCCTTGTCTCGACCCACAAGCTTTTCTTTATATTTTCTCCTCCTCATCCCACCGCGGGGGAGGAGTGAGCAAGCGGCCTCCTGGTGCTTTGTTGCCAGCTGGCCTTAAACCATGGCATTTTTTAAATGAAGGCTAAAATGTGACTGGTTACATAAAAACTCCTTTCCTTGCTACACACTTGATAGACATCCATAATATTCAAATTGCCTAAATGAAAACCATTGTGCTTTGGAAATGCAGTTGAGGTTCTTTGGGCAATCTTAACCCTGCCCTGTGGCAATACCCTAAAAATAACAAAGAGGACGTGATAAAACTGGGGTAGTGTAATGTGCAGCCCCAACAGTTACGTCCTACTAATTGTACTTCCATAATTATCACCTGGTTTTAAGGCTGCATTAAGGCTATTTGGACCATCCTAGTTGCTCATCACTTTCAACCTTAATTGGATTTCTAGAGTTTGGGGAACAATTAGAACACCTTTCATTTTAACATATTTTATTTAAGTTACTGATAAGCTTTTACCCTTCACTCAGTATGAATACAGTTTTTGTCTGGAAGGAGATGTTGCTGTTGAGCTGTAGCAGTTTTAAGTACAGGTCTTTAGGTTTCCTTCAGCCTTCTGGATCACAAGAAACCTCCATTGTCTCTACCTTCTTCCTTTGCCCTGTCTTGGGATCTTCGATTTCCCTGTTTAGATAGTTAAAGTGAGACTCCAGACTGCCTCTCTGTGACAAAATCTTGCTACAGCACAATAGTTGGAAGTGGTCTTCAACTTGGTGACGCATCCATGGTATAGTTCTTCTAACCCCTGTTGGCATGCATGCAATGGTTCTTCTGACTTCCAGCCAGGCTGTAGGATTTGGGATTAGTGGTAACGACCACTGCAATCCCAGTTTCATGGCTCAGATTTTTGACCTAGCATTCAGCATTAAATGCAAAAGGACCATTACATTTATATCTTATTGGTTCTCTGTGATATGCCTAGAAAGTTATCATTAAAATATGAGAGAGATGGTTAGATCCTGAACTTTCTCTTTGGCTAGTATAATAATGATGAGAACTTAATTCAGCAAAAATGCAATGCTTATCTATTAATTGGTCTCTTTTTGTTTTCACCACACCAGACCCTGCACCATTCCTACTTTTTAGCCATGGAAATGCCATCTTTAGAATTGACACTGAGGGGACCAATCACGAAAGATTGGTGGCTGATACTGGTCAGTCAACGCTTATGGATTTTCATTATACAGAAGAGAAAGTGTATTGGGTAGACTCTGAAAGGCGACTACTTCAAAGAATTCACCTGAATGGCACAAAACGAGAGGTAAAGTAATCAGTTCTTTGGAATTCTCCAAGTTAATGGGCATAAAATCCTTTATGGAAACCACCTGCTTTTCAGGTACAATTCTGCCATTCCTGTTCATTGGTGAGCACTTCAGACTTATTTAATAGTCTTCGCTGTTGCAATAGTTATGGTCCTGAGTCTAGGCTGTTTTACTGGCATTCACAGTACATTTAGTATTTTCTGTGGATCAAGTAAAGGGGAGGAAGGAGAGGAAATTCAGGCAAACTAAAGCTTTGAAGTCAATAATGTTTCTATCAGTTTTAAATTAATCCCTGGCATTATAGAAGTTTGTCTTACAGATTACTGTAACTCAAACTGGCACAAATGGTATGAGAAGAATGTGCTTGAATTCCTACTCATTTTTTCTCAAACTTTTTATTGGTTTCTATGGTTGCAAAAATGCTTCTTTTAGCACTTCATCCGTTGTTCAGAAAAAGCGGTGCAGTTCATTGCATCTGGCAGATTAAGTAGGACAGACAGGCTGTTGTGGCTGAACTTCAATGCTGTGAGAGCCTTCTTTTGTTTGAGAGAGATTGCCAGTGTTCGTGTACCCATGTGGAGTCTTCACTGAGGTATTTTACGTTGATTTTTAAGGATCAGGGTCCAGCAAGAGTGTGTTAGGAAGTCTTCCATCTGTAACAGTACAGATCTGGGTGCTTAACGATATGCCAAATGCAAGAAGTTGTAGCTAAAAGATCAGTCCAATGTATTTCTTATGGACAACACTTTCCCCTTTCACAGGGGGTCACTCAGTTCATAAGGTGTATGTGCAAGTACAAAGACCAAATGAAAGTGATTACAGAATACAAAAGAGAAATATCTACAGGTCTGAGAGAAAATGAAACAGGCAAAGGAATGAAATGGGAACCTTCAGTCTGGCACCCTATTCCCTATATTGAAAGTCAAGTTTAGGGTAATCATTAGGATGCTTCTTGTTGTTAACTTTTTTTTTTTTTTTTTTACAGAGACTATGTTACATAGACAAAGGCATTTCGGGATTTGTTATTGACTGGATAAATCAAGACATTCTCTGGGCCAATAGACAGAAAGCAACCATAGAAGCAACAGACATGAATGGGAAGAAACGCAGAGTTCTTCTAAGAGATGTTGGTCATCCCACAAGGATTACTATTGATGCTGAGCAAAGGTAATTTTGACTAGGTTAGTAATTTCATTGAAGTGGACTCAAAATATGCAAGGTACAATGATTGTGGTTTATAGGCTGCTGGGCTAGTCTGTGCACAGTGTATTATCTACAGTCCAATACCTCCTTGAACTTTGCCAAAAGAGGATAAAAGATTAATAAGCATATAAGAGATAAATAGAGAAGTGCGTGGGAAAAAGCCCACTGAAGTCTAATGCAGAATCTATACCTCCTGGTCATCAGGGAAAATTTTGCTAGTGAGGAGAGCTGAGGGAAAAGAAGCATTGCTGGTCCTTTCTCAAAGGCAGCAGAAAGCAGGACTGGAGCAACAAGGGGAATGATGCCTGCAAATGCTGGGAGTCCCTTGTGTTGCAAACCTGGCACACACAGAATATAAATTGCTATGTTTTCTGAAAAAAGGTCTAAACTTACAGTTTTGCTCCTGTTTCCCTTGTCACTCTGTCAGTTGCTCTGAATACTGGTTCTGAATCTACTGTTGCTACTTTGTGTCACTAGTAGTTTGGCCTTCATAAAGGTGCTTCTTTCAGCTTCAAGCCATTTACGCTGAGAACCATGCTCACATAAGAGATTTGGCCTCCTCAGGAATTATCAGTATGAATTGTCACAGTGGTCTCTCCATGGTAATTTCTCTTTACTCATAAACCTCTTCCATTAAAGTTGCAAAATAAAAGCTTGAGCAGACTTTGAGATGCTTCTCTTTAGTACAGCAAAAGCATGTTTCTGTTGCCACTTCTGATTTGCAATAAAGTTGCTCAGCAGTGTGTGAAACTGTTTTAATATTAAGGCTTATGTGTCTTTTCCTAGTACATTTATACATAAACCACTAGTAGCATTACTAGTATTCATTGGAGTCTTGTCATTTGGGTAGGATTTAAAGGCCTGAACATCAGCCTATTTTTTTTTTTTTTTCCTGTTTTTTCTTTCAAATGTAGTATTTGCCAGTCTTGGAAATATTCACAAGTCCTTAAAGCCACCGTCAAATGCCACTGAAACACATGTTACTGGCATTATAAGAATATATTTGCTGAACTTAGGCAAAAGTCTGGGGAGATTCAATTGCCTATATTCACCCAGGTGTGATTCACCATGCTTAAAAGCTGTACTCATGTGCTTACAGGGAGGCCAGTAGGCCAGTGATAAACTGTAAAGAAAGTAGACTCCAAGAAGTCTGACATCATTTTTATGCCCTATGGTAATTTCCTTGTATGAAAACTCTGAGGGCTCTATTTTTAATGTAAAGTCAATTAAAACGCCCAGTATGTTTATGTGCACAGGTGTAAGCATGAACTAAATCTGATATTAACAATGTCTTCCTTCAAATGTGTGCAACTCTTAAGTAATGAAGGTCAATGTGATACCCGAATAATAAAGTTTTTCTCAAAAGATGTGTTTGGATATTAGCGGTGATAGGATTATTTTAGTAGTAATAATGTAACTATTGCTGTAAGATTGATTTGATTTTTTTTAATTGTGTTTGGAAATGCCAAAAAATAAGGATTAAAACTAAAGAAAAATAGAAGGCAAATACAGTAAAGGCTGGCAATTACTCAAGCCAGTTTCTAATCTTCATTCTTTTTCTGTCTTCCTGTTTGTTCATATCATATTCTGCCCCTTCAATGATTAGCAAAATTTTCGCATAGAGACTATAACCCTATAGCCACCTTTGTTTTTTAGTTTCCTTATCTGTAAAAAGAGAATCCTAGCATTTCTCCAAACTTCCAAAGTAGTGACATTTCCTAAATAACAGGTGCTCTAGAAATGCAAGCAGATATTAATAAAATGTTTTAAAAAGGCAGTATAAAATTGGGCTATCCTTCTGGAAACATGTTTTCACCTCTACATTAATAACCTATATAGACTATATAATGTGAGGAAAAGCTGTGACGCAGGGGCTGATTCTTCTCACTAGTTTGGTATAGTCCCTTGCCAGGGAGATCTAATCCATTTTGGGGCCTTTAACAAATTCTTAAAATAAACATAGTAAAGCTGGCTTTATGCTACATTTTTTTGTATGTATAAATTCTGCAATTTTGTGGAGACAAGGCAAAATGATGATGCTTCTTGGAATTTTTGTGCATAAGAAACCCAGGCAAAGAATCTAAACCCAAACATTAAAAAATAAAATATACATAAATGAGGGATAACTTGCCATTTTGGAAGAACTGTTGTTAACCTTAGTCACATCGGTAAATCTGGGGTCTGATCCATGAATAACTTGACATATAAGTAGTTTCAGTGCATAACTGTTTTGAGTATTGGAGCTGTATTTTGACTGTGTCTTAATTTAATAACAGCATAGTCTGTCTGCTATAACCAGCAGGAAGGTAGAAAGAAATGAGAACAATCATAGAAATGGTATTTTTAAGTTAAGCACTTAAGTGATGTGCTCAACTAGTTTCTGGAGATAGATTCTTCCCAGAGGCAGAGGGCAATGTGGATCTGCCTCAAAGACATGCCTTTCTCCAAGTTTGCAGGAGTTATCCGTAGATTTGAGAGGTTATTCCAGATTCCTTCTCTGACTGCATGGCCAAACAAAGGAGAGGGACAGACAATAGCGCTTCATGGTTAAGCTGAGCTGATTCCTGCTTGACCTACCTGAGAGAAATTTCTAGTATCTCATTGCTTCCTTGAACAGTCATATAGTCTCTGATAGAAATTTATTAAAATAAGAAAAAAACTGTAACAAAACTTCAGTGGTAACATTGCTTCTGTGAAACAGACAACACTTTGTTGTCAAAAATTATTTCCATTCTTCAAAGAGCTATGTTAAGTGGAGATGTCTGGGGGGCTTTCCTGAAATAGGTGAGTATGTATTAAGTCCCTTGCTTTATTATTAATTTTGGTTCTGAAAGCAGTGTGGTAAGACTGAAAAATTCTGTATATAGGAACAACTAAACAAGGAGTGTGTAGCAGTGATGTGATCTTGCAAATGTGGGGTTTGTTTTTTGGTTTTGTTGTTCTTTTTTTTTTTCCAAAACATACCTCTCTTGCCTGCAGGCTATTATTTTGGTCTTCAGATGGTACAGTTTCCAGCATACACCGAGTGTCCATCAGTGGAAGTGATGTGAGAAATGTTTTAAGAACCACAGTAAAAATAAAGGCCATCTCACTAGATCTGGTTGACACGAGGATCTACTGGATCCAACATGGCCACGGGAAAGAGATTTCCCATATTGGATCGTGCAACTATGATGGCGGAGCTGTTCGTTTGCTCAAAAATTCTGCCCGGTGAGTTTTCCTGAGCTTGTCAGAAATGAAATGCTCATTTCCTGGGGATGCAGTTAAGCTCTCTTCCTCATTGTCCCTTTTATTTTGTCAGTTCATAACACAATAAGGAGTATAAAGTGTAGTGCAAATGGCCTGTAACTGTAAATCTGAAACTACTGATAGAAAAATGGAAAAAAGTCACTGTTGTGAGGATAATACTGCCACTCAGTACTCTCCATCCTCCAAGCTTTTCAGCAAATGATAACTACTTAATCCGTAGAAATCCTCTCTGAGTGTTTATCAGTGGCCTTTTTCTGCAGACAGAGAAGCCAAAAGCAGAGATTAAATGATTTGTCCAAGGTCACAGTGGGTGAGCTCAGGTGTCTGAGCTGTACTCAAGAGACTGAGCTAGATCAGGTCTTTCCCATTCTCCTCTAAGCCTGTTGTCCTCCTGCGCTGCCAGGAGGAGAGGCTCAGGCCCGCGCTCAGGCTCTCCAAGCGTCAGCAGATGTGGCGAAAACTGTCCTACGCAACAGACTTGCTCCCCTCTGATCCCCGGTGCCGGGGCTAAGCACAGGGGGCTATTAGACTCCTGTGCTTTTGGATGCCTTTAATATTTGGCCTTCATGCTTTGCAGTGATACAGATGTTCTGTGGCAGGTGTGTTTTCAGCAAGGTGCTCAGCACTGCAGTTTCTGTGTCGGTATGGCTGGATCAGCATATGTGTAATAGGGATTGCCAACGGCAAAATGAGAAAAAGACGTGGTTTCGCCAGCCTCCTGCTTTAAATATGCAGCACACCATTTGCATATGATGAACACAAAGCTGGTTTCTCCCTATGTTGCCAGCTGTCACATTGGATTTTTCTCTACCCTTTCTCCTTCAAGTTGGCTGGTGTTCACTAGGATATCAACACTTTCCCTTTGAGCCTGGATGATGTAGATTCTCCTTTTTCTACCTGGAATACGTACTGGAGAGTGGAGGCCCAAAATCCCTCTTTCAGTATTTTTCTGCTTTCCCTCTTATTTAAAACTGGACCCTTCTGTGGTTCCTGCTGGCTGCTATAACTGACCAGCAAATGGAAAATAAATTCCTGTGATAGGAGAAGCAGCAAGATGGATTTTAGGAACGTCCTACTCCTTCATCTCCACCCTAATTTCCTGGGACAGGCAGAAGTGTCAGAGCAGGCACTGGAAATTGGGAAATGGGAGAATTTATCTGGCCTACATCCTTTAACAAAGCAAGTGTCCATTTTAGTTGCTGGGTTCTCCAGAAGCAGGGTGATACCTAGGCTTTCTCTGTCATTTGAGTCAGTCCTGAACAACAGGACCTGTTGTACACAGGACAATATAACCTGTGAGAAATGCAGGTTATCCATTTTGCATCTATTTCTTGCAAATCTGCAGGATTCTGGGTGGTGGATTATATGGGAATGTCTCTGACACCTCATCTGATTCTCATATATACAAGATAATATAAGATATATAAGAATACAAAGGTTATTTACAGTGAACTTGACTGAACTAGATGCTCAGAAAATGTATGGCTGAGTAAATATATAGGGATCATGTAATGTGCCACTTTGTGTTATCTTCTCTTTGTTGTAGACATCAATTGCTTGGTATGTCTCTCTTTGCTGAGCACCTGTACTATTCAGAGTTGAAATCTGGTATGATATGGAGAGCCAACAAGTATACTGGAAAGGTTGTAGTCACAATTAGCCTGAAGCCATCATTTTTTCCGCCAGTGGAGATAAAAGTTGTACATCCATTTAAACAGCCAGGTGCAAGAACAGATTCTCAGGATTTTGGTAAGTAAACTGTAATGATACAGTTGTATGTGTGAGAATAATAATGTCATACACTCTGATTTTTCACAATAATAATTTTCTTTGGCAAAATTCCAGGCCTCGGTGAAGTCAGTGTGCTGGTTGGCAGCCGGCTGAATGTGAGCCAGCAGTGTGCCCAGGTGGCCAAGGAGGCCAACGGCATCCTGGTCTGTATCAGAAATAGTGTGGCCAGCAGGAGCAGGGAGGTGATTGTTCCCCTGTACTGGGCACTGGTGAGGCTGCACCTCGAGTACTGTGTTCAGTTTTGGGCCCCTCACTACAGGAAAGACATTGAGGTGCTGGAACGTGTCCAGAGAAGGGCAACGAAACCGGTGAAGGATCTGGAGCACAAGTCCTATGAGGAGCGGCTGAGGGAGCTGGGGCTGTTTAGTCTGGAGAAAAGGAGGCTGAGGGGAGACCTTATCACTCTCTACAACTACCTGAAGGGGGGTTGTAGTGAGGTGGGTGCTGGTCTCTTCTGTCAGGTGGGTGGAGACAGGACAAGAGGAAATGGCCTCAAGTTGAGGCAAGGGAGATTTAGGTTAGATATTAGGAAAATTTTTTTTACTGAGAGGGTTGTCAGGCATTGGAACAGGCTGACCAGGGAAGTGGTTGAGTCACCATCCCTGGAGGTATTCAAAAAGCACGTAGACAGGGTACTCCAGAACATGGTTTAGTGGGCATGGATGATGGTTGGACTCAATGATTTTGAAGGTCTTTTCCAACCTAAATGATTCTATGATTCTATCATTCTAAGTTCAAGGAAGAAGTTTCCTTTAACTGCAGTGATCCACAGTTCCAGCTGGTGTGTGTAACTCCAGCTGGAGTGTCAGGCTGGAAGTGTGCTGAGCATGAACTTCTCATTTCATTAATCTGGATATACATGCCGATAAATGTGATTTTTCTCCTTCTCTTCCCTTTGTTTACACAAAGATGTTTTTATACTTTCCTGCTAAATGCACAAAAGCATACAGCTTTTTAATCCTTCATGTAGATTATCTTCATCAAGTGTCTGCTCCCTTCTGGAAGTTTTATTCTAATCTGCATCCAAACACCTCTGATGATTAGGGCACTGAAGGTTTTTAAGTGCATAGTATGTCCTACAAGTGATACTGTGGATGTCTCGTCTTTGCTGTGATATGGCTGGATGATGAGTCAGGCTATTTTAGACAGACTTGAAGTTACCATAACAACTATGAAATAAGAGCCTTGGGTCTCTTTAATTGATATCCGTTGCAGCCTACAGTATGAGGTGGTCATGTCACTGCCTTTCACTGTGGATCAGAAAAAGAAGGTAGTTGATTATGGATAGCTTACCCTCCTTGAGGATTCCTGCTGAGGCAGTAGGAAGTGGAGGGTGTCCAGGGAAATAATATATTGTTCTCTGATCTCTGGAAAGCAGACATAGAGTATTCTTGCTTTAATGGAACAGCTTTGTCACCAGTTTGCTTGGGTATGAACAACTGACCAAACAACATAGAGGCATTTTTGTGTCAAGCAATGGTTGCAGAACCTCCAAGGGAAGATGGCCGTGGGTTCCCAGAGGTATAGGTAGTATACAGACATGAGGAGAAAGTAGTGTTTGTTCATATGAGCAAAAATGAAACTGTAAATATCTACTATAAAAGAGGCTTTGTCTTTCTTCATGCCAACCAACAGCTTTTTATGGTACCATGCTGTCTCTTCTTCCTGAAGTCTGGTCTGAGTGGGAAAATCAAAATCTTCAAGGGAACTTTCTCCTTCAAATGCTTTGTTTGCAGTGCAAAGAGCTGTTGAGATGCAGAAGAGAAAGTGTTCCTGGAAATCAAGCTTATAGTTGTAAATGCAGGGACCCTCCATTCAGAGATAATACCTGTTCTGTGCTTCCTTTGAGGAAAATGGTCATCCTGGCAAATGGAAGCACTTTTTTTCAACGGACATGTTTGGTGCTCTCATACAGAGTAACTAGGGAAGGATACGTTTGTGGTACAGACACTGTGGCATGTCCACACATCTCAGGGTTGTTACAATGAGATTTGGAAGGTCTCATGAGGCCTCCTTGGGTGTCTGTTACCATGTCTGCATATGCATGAAGTTGGAGAGGAAGAAACAATGACCAAGAAAGGTAGTTCATGACAGTGGTCTCCTGAATCTCAGGGGCTATTGGTCGTGTTACATATGTCCTCTCCACGAGAGTGTGTAGCACAATTTCATCGACTATGGACGCTTAGCTTTTATTCTTCTCTCAGAAGATTAACTCCACTTCTTCCACAATAACATGCTGCTTTCCAGTCTTTCCCTTTCTGTTGGAAAGAGGGTTTCCCCACCTTTATTAATAAATAAACTACCAGTGTTTTTAAATGTCTTGCAGTATATACCCCGGTATTTCCAACATGTTTAGTAAATTTTTGTATGGCAGTAAGTGCTGTCAGCAGTAGGCCTTTTTTTATTCCAAATACCTTCTTGTAAAAATGTCTGGGAAGTGATGGAGTAGAAAGAAGCTTAACAGGCTGAATCCAGATGAACCTTTTGGACTTTACATATATGTTGCTTGGCTTATCCAGTGCAAGAACTGGGATGAAAGCAGGACTAATGAGCCTGGAGTACAAATGAGATTTATAGCTGCTCTTACAACAGAGAAACATGGAGATAAAAGCATACCTAGACTAATTGGATGCTCTGTAGAAGCTAAAAAAGTGTATGTTGCAATGTAGTGTCAGCCGTGAATTATCAGGCTTTCTTTAAAGCAGATAGCAAGTGAGTTCCTTCAGTTGAAAAGGGAACTGATGAGAAGTGCTCAACTAACATGATCTGATTTTTTACTGGAATTTGGATTATTTACTTTACTACTTAAATTCCTTATGTCCCTTCTTCCCTTTCTCTTTTGAAAGACTTTCCTGGATTGGTCAGGGCCAATAAGTAGAGAGAAGAGCATTAATTCAGCTAGGGGGTTGCTATAACCCCACACAACAACTTTAGTACAGTAATATCTGGAAGAGGGCCTCTAATTTACCTCAATTCTTTTTGACAGCTAACCCTTGATTTGATGACAGTATGTGTATTTATAAATGCCTGCTGGAATGTTCTTTAGACTTTTATTAATGGCTCATAAAATATGTTCATTACCTTAAAATCTCAAAGACTGACTCTGGAATTTTTTGGAAGTATCTTCTCTGACAGATTAATGATATTCAGTACACTCAGGATATTTTATTGGAGGAATTATGTTATGTTTCTTTCCAGTGTAAGATACCAACATCAGGCTATTATCTGAGAACACCCATTTCCATAGAAGAGAGGTGATGGAAGGGAAAAAACCAAACCACAAAAAACAAACTAGAAAGTATCGTTCATAATCGTTGTTTTTCCAGAAAAGATTACCTTTAAAACTTCATGATTCATAATTTAGTCACCATTCGCTTTAAATTTTGAAATATGATTATTTTTTTTACGTATTGATTTGGCAATATCGAGTTCTAATAATTATTCAGTTAAAAAAGAATATCTTCTTGAGATTGCCCAGATGGCAAAATTATTGCTTCTGTTATTTGTCCTGTAATTTCTGGTTGTCTTAGGTCTCATTAGACCAATAATGGTACAAGCAAGGGGCAGAAAATCAGCACCAGTGATAAGCATTAGATGCAGCCTTGAATGTGGTCTTGTTTCTGGTTTGTATTGTTTTGTGATTGCATGTACTTGCACTTTTGTCATTCTAATGAGTTCTGTATTTGAAGATTAGACACCCCACTACTATATGTTCCTGATTCAGTTGCAGGAGGGACAAAGATTAAGGGTCAAGTCCAAAACCAGTTCTACAAAAAGAGAGGCTCAACTAAAACTATGTAAAATTCAAGTCTCTCAAAAGTTAACATGCTTAATAAGATAGATAATATCCACCTAGTCATGCATTCATCATTTTTCATTCACTGATACAACTTCTGTCACAGAAGAATTAATCAGTTTGACCCAAATAAGTACAATGTTGATGATTTCAGCCAAGCTGAAGTGTCTGTCTGGGAAATTATTTCAGTCTTTTATAGATATGATTTGTCATTCCACCAAATAGCCAGCATTTTCTCTGTTGTGGCTAGCAGAAGACTAAATGTCAAATTTAAATATTATGCTACTTTCCATCTCTTGGAATTTGGAAGGTGAATTGGAAACAGCACAAGAACATTGTTCACACACAAATTTCTTTGCCTGTATGAGCCCCTGTTCTCTTATGCGTTACACAGACAGCACAGGGCAAAGACAATATTGTGTGTGGGTGGCTGCATACCCACATTCAGTAGCAGCAGTTCAGCTATTCTTAGCTTGGGAAAGGGGCAAACAACCCCAGAAGAAGATTAGGAAGATTAAAACAAAAATAATAGTTTGGGAGGCAGAAATAACACCATAAGCACCAGCTCTAAAAGATAGCTGAGCACAGACACCCTGCAAATTGTTCCCATGAAAAAGGATACGTGGATACCTGTTTGCCTTTTTCAGTGAAGCAGCAGAAGGAGGAAGGCTTCTGGGGGTCTGTTGGGTACTTTTTTCTGCTTCCTTTGAAGAAACTTTGAGCATATCTTGGACATCAGAAACATCCCGAGTTTTAAATCTGAGTTCAAGATTTATAACACTTGTATTTCTTATAGTCAGAAACCAGGATCCACTCCAGTACAAAGATTCTCTAGACTGTGCTGAGACTTCTTGTCCAAATGAAACATATGGTCATTATGATCTGTCCAGCTATTTTTTTTGTTAAATAATGTGAGACTTGAGCACTGCTTTGTGCTAATAATTTTCAGTCTTCGTATACTCTCTCTCTTTTAAAATCTCTCTTCTCTCTCTTTTTGCGTGTGTGCTGTCTCTCTGTTGCTCTCTTCTTTCTGAGTGTTTTACAGAGCCTGGTAATGTAATACTGTGCAGGACTGGTGGCATACAAAGCCTGTTATGCAGGGTTTTCCCTTTCATAGTGACTATAGGTATGCACCCAAACCAAACCGTCCCCTACTTCAGGCTCTCTCTAGATATGCTTATGCTGACACAGAGCTAGAAATTATCATTTGCACAGACCTACTCTTAAGCTTCCAAGTATTTTCTTTTTTTTTTTTAGTGACTTTTTAGCCTGATTTTACCAATAGAAAACAATAGAAGTTATTTCTATTAATAAGAAGTTCCTCGGGTTGAGCAAGTAGCTGTTGAGAAGTAGACACATCACTTTGCTCAGAATAGTTTCTCCTTGAAGGTTGGTATGGTAAGAACCCCATTATGTTTACACTATATTTGTTCTTCCAGAAAAAGGAACCTGTGACTTGAACAAAGAAAAGTGCAGAAGAAGAATCTGCAGGCCAGACTCAAGGACTCATCGGTGTAAATGTTCTAGTGGCTTTATTTTAAGTCGTAATAAACAGTTCTGTGAAGGTAATACATGAATCTCCCACCAGCTTTATTCCATCAGATGAAAAAATTCTTCTGTTCTTTTACTTTACTCATATTTTATGAAAAAACACTCTGAGGTCTTAAAAATTCTAGTTGTGCCATTTCAGTTTTGTGTCCTTCCATGTTCTGAAATAGTCTAAAAGGAGACCTATGAAAGTGCCACAAGTGCTATTCTTGCAAGAAATTTTGGTCTTAGCCTGAGTAGTTAAAGGAGTGTCAGATAAGTAGACATGCTTATGGTTGCTAATTTAATTTTTATTTAAAAATTAAAACAGATATATCACCAAAGGTGAAACATTGAAAAATCCTGCAACAAGATGGCTGTCTTAAGTCCCACTTTCAAAAAAGACACAAATTTTTACCATGCTTCTAAATGTTTTGATCTGGATTGTTTTAATAAAAATCTAACATTACTATCAATAGTAGCTAACATATCACTTTTAGAAGCATCTTTTTCACTATGTAACAAGATTTGAAAAGACATAAAGGCATCAAAATTTCTAGCTTACAGGATTTACAGACCTGCCTGAGGAGCAGCCATCCAGTTCTCAGGAAATTCACCAGGATTGCTTTCTGAATTTCATCTTCTAAACCACTTCTGTATTTTGAGAATTTTACTTAAGTCATGTTGGAGCCAAATTTTTTAAAAGAATTTTTTGTCTGAAGAAAGTGTCTAATGTAAATTTTTTGGGTGGACACAGGATTTAACTGGCACTGGAAATCTGTATGAGAAGGCATACTTCTGAAAGTCCTCTAGGCATCTATGCTGGACACATGCAGCCTGAGTAGGTTTTGCTAGAAGGTTTTTAAATTTTATTTGAATAAGGTCTGCAAACCTGCTTTTTTATCATTCATTAGGGCCAACGTATTTTTGTAAAATGAATGAGAAAAAGAGGTCCTTCTTGAAGACTGTTGGTTTGTTTCATTAATCAAATTCCCTCACACTGGCTGATGACATTATTCTGACAGACCAAGTGCTTCTTTTGGCAGATATCAATGAGTGTGGCTTCTGGAATCATGGCTGTACTTTGGGCTGTGTGAACATCCCTGGTTCCTATTACTGCACCTGCCCGAGAGGTTTTGTTCTGCTGCCTGATAGAAAAACATGTCATGGTAAGTAGCAGTAATACATAAACACTTTGAGTATCATATTGGAGAGAGTCCTCATTTAACATCGGAACTGCTGAAAGTTTTGTGTGTTGCATTGCTTGCTTCTGATCCCTTATTATGTAAGTAGGATCAGCTTAAACTGAGTGAACCAAGTTCAGATGTCATGTTTAAGGAAGTATAAGTTACACGTGAGTAACCAAGTGTGAGCCTCCTCAAAAAAAAAAGAGTAGGTCTCCAGAGAGACCTCTTTGCTCAGATTAGGCTCTGTGGCACGTTCCAGGTAGATAAGCACTTATACCTTTTTAAATGTGGTTTCTGAATTTGGCTCACTCTGGCTATCCTGCATAAGAATTTGCACAGTCTCTGAATGAGCAGCTTACAGCATCATCTTTTTTTCTCTTCAGATCAGGGTTGATAGCATTGCTAATGTGCGTGACATTAATGAAATTAAATGCATGTGCATCAGTTTACAATAAATAAGACACATGGAAGTACTCATAAAGTTGTTTATTCTGGGGATCTGCTGCACCTGTGGGTTTTTTTTGCTTTTATCAATTAAATTGTGTATGAGAAGTATGCCTGAGAGAACTTATCCATATAACATAGGTACATAAAGCAGAAAGCTCTCTGAAGCTGCATAAATGTGAATAAACTAAATGCAGAGAACACAGAGAAACGTGGGGAAAAAACAAAGATCTGTCTGTCAGTAAGCTTCAAGGACCATATTTTAGTCACAGTAGGAGTCAGAGGTGAACTTTTTTTTTCTCCCTTTATGCAGCACTGCGTATATTCAGCCTACAAATGAATTAAGCCTTTTGAAAGTAAGTCTAGAACATAAAATGTGAAATGCATCCAAGTTTTGAGGTCTTGGGATATTCCCAGTCACTTTTCTATTTCATAATGAAGTGGAATTTAGGCATAGGCAAAGGTCCTTCTACCTTGTTTCCATGGAAATAAAACATTGGTATATGCCCCAAGTAGAAGTGCCAGTGCACACCAATGAGTTCAGTCTGGATCACAGCAGGATCAGGACGTAGGGTACATTAAATATCACTACTAGAGAGTAAATGTAGCTGTAGAGACTAACAGACTCTAGCAGTCAATTTATTTTAGACCTCTAAGAGTCACTTGTCCCTCTCTATTAAGAGGGAGCCAGGAGCAGGATTCAGTGACACAAACATGGGGGTCCAGGCTGTGTGTGACAGCTGGAGAAGGCAGCCAGATGTGACAGAAGACTTATGGGAGACCTGCAGCCAGAGGCTATTGGGAGGTGGGATATCCTTTTGTGTCCAAAACAACACTTAGACACTGTGCAACTCAGTCCTACTCTGGATGACTAGCTTGAACTATATGCCTACATTTTGAGTGGCTCAAATTAGATAGAAAATAATGTTTTTCTAACACAGGCTAGGGATGCAGCATGGACAGTATAACTCCTTAACTACTGCAGCACAAGGCAGATATGTCACCAACTGTGCAACTTGAGAGAAAGAGAGATGCAAGGTGAGAAGTCCACATGCTGACCGGACATTTTGATGCTCTCTCCTCCAAGTCCTTTACGAAGCTCTTCATTTAAAGCCACAAGCTCTGGTCAGAAAGAAACATGAGAACAGTTTCTTGACCCTCTTCACTGTGCTTAAGTGGTTAGAACAATCCAGTCCAGAGTGCAGTTGCCCTGGAGAAGCAATATTTGCAACAGCTATGTACCATTTAAGCTGGTGTATGCAGCTGATTCAAAGAAGCAGCTGTGGGAAACTCGCATTAGTTCCAGTCTTCCAGCAGATGTTGCCATATGGCACTAGAATTGGCGTAAAGAGATGCAGCACTGCAATACAGAAGGTGGAAGGAGCATATCCTGTGAAACTGCATTAAAGAAATGCTCACAAAAATGTTGGGGCTCCAACAATTATAATGGAAAGTAAAGGAAAGCTATTTCCAGGTCCTCAGATGGTTTTGCCCCTACAGCTTCAAAAATTGCTGCTAAAGAACATAGCTTTATTTCTGGAAAGTTCATCTCCTGTTTTCATTGATTCTACCTCTGTTACCCTTGGAGTTGTAGGAAAGTAGTCTTTCCTCATTCTCTTTTTGTTTTATACTTATTCTTTCAGTATAACTTCCTTGTAGTTTTCAAAACCAGATCTATTTTTGATGAAATGTAAAAAAGAAAGTTTAAAAAATTATTTCTATTTTGATAACATGTCTTCATACAATTTTGGAAAATTTAAAGCTGATCAGTATAATGGCTTCAGGACCCAGCAATTTTGGCTTTCTCCTTTGCTATAATTACAAGAGGGTGGGAAAAAACAACTTTGGAAAAAAAACAAAAAAAAACCCAGAAAGACCACAGAAGTGTTGTACTCTCAACATCACACTTCTATTTTTTTCTTTTTTCTTTCTTTTTCCTTTTTTTCTTTTTCTTTTGCTATTTAAGAAAGATTTTTTTTTCCTCTTTAAATTACTGTAGAGCTAATTTCCTGTACAAGTAACGACACCGAATGTAGCCATGGTTGCCTTCAAACATCTGAAGGGCCTGTTTGCTTTTGTCCTGAAGGATCTGTACTCAAAGTGGATGGCAAAGCATGCACAGGTAAGTAACATTTTTTCTAGCTGTGGTGACTCCCAAACTCTGTTTATTCTTGGCACTGAGAGCCAGAAGTGAATAAAGGCATTTTACACTCATTTTGCACAGCTGTAAATGATTGGACAAGATAGGAGGCAATGGAATGTCAGGTGCTTTGAGTGCCGAGATGAGCAGTATTCATCTTCATTTTTAATAGATGTTTCTTAGCAGCAACATCCAATGTTTGGAAGCCAAATTCTTTTGTTGTCAGCACAGATCAAGGCATCTCCCACATGTTTGTTGCAAGAGACATCTAAAATTTATATTTGAGGGGAAATGTAGATACAAAATTGGGGCTTGGGTGAAATCTGAAGATGACTTTATTGACATTGTGCAACCCAGGTTCAGAGTCACTCTAACTTACAGCAATTTCATCTAATTACCCACAAATGTAATTTTTGCAGTCAGAATATTTGAAGCTGCTACACCCACTAATTTGTCATTCCCCATTCCAGCAAGATTTCCAAATTCAGGGACCTGTAGCTTTTCAGCTGTATCTTTTCAGTCTTAGGGATCCATTAATGCCAGACTTAAACCTTGAAAAATCCCCTTCCCTTTTACATCCCTTAAATATTGTGGACTGTACTGTATACGTAGATTCAGTCACTGTTGCTGTTTTGTTAAGGACACTCCACTGAGTAAGCTCAGGTTGGCATTGAGGCTATAACCATTGTACAGCCCCAAGAAGAAAGAATTGTTTCTTTTTGTATGAAATCTTGGTTTGTTGTATTAGAAAGTAGCAATTCACCATCCTAGCCCAATTAACTTCTGGGGAGACAACGACATTAATTTGCTGTTTCTTTGCATGGAGTGCAGAGTGTGATAAAATTTGTTACTCTATTGTAAATGGGAGGAGACTTGCATGGGAGAAAGAGTTCTCTGAAATAAGAACACATGGAAGCCTTCTTCGTATAGACCATCCCCCCATCTTCTGTTGTGAATTTTCAGGAAAAACTCTGGAAGAAGTTACTACTAATTTGCTTTCACTTCCTTAGACTTCTGCTTTCAGCAGGAGGCCTTTCAGTAAATCTGTCAGTCACTGAGATGCTTTGCAGTGTAAAAATCCCAAGCAGAGTGAATCATTCTTTTGCTCATACCTCTGATTTTGTTGTATTTTTTTTCTTAGAATGGCGAAGTTAAATTTTTCAAATGCTCTGTTTAAGGTTGCACATCTCCAGATAATGGTGGCTGTAGTCAGATATGTTCTTCTTTAAGCCCATCCTCCTGGGAGTGTTCTTGTTTTCCTGGATATAAGCTTCAGCGAGACAGAAAGCACTGCACTGCTATAGGTCAGTATCTTGGTATGCCTCCATATTTCTGCCAATATAAGCAAAAACATTTGAGAGTCCTTTAAAGTGGATTGCATAACTGGGATCCATTTTTGCACTGGTTTTACGTTATTTTGTGAAACTTGGGAAGTATTAGTTGTTTAGAACAATAACCTATTTTGGAAATATACCAGAACAAGTACCAGTATATGGTTCACTCTCCCTCATAGAAGATTCAGTCTATTATCCAACTTCTGCATTTCACACTGGGCTCCTGTACTGCGGACATCGATCTGCCAGTATTCAGGTTTTTGTGCCTTCATATAAATGTGGGTGTAGTTTCTGCCCAGTGGTACAGAATTGGGGTTGAGGTGTCTACATTTGGAGAACAGGGCAGGGAATAGTCTGTTGAAGGACCTTCCCTACAAGGGTATTTCTCCCCCACTGGCCCCAGGAAGCCCAGGTATTTGATGTGCATGTTTGGATTCCAGGCTCTTCTGTTTCGTCTGAAAAAAGGGCAGACCGTGGAGAGCAGCAAGGTATAACCAATTGCATGAGAGAAAGGAGGAGAAAGAAGTTTGTGATTTGTTTCAGGAATAAAGGAAAAGCTTTATTTTTTGGAGGACAACATTTTTCTTGCTTTTACTGTGAAAGGCTTCTCATGCGCAGAAGTCAAGTATTCTGGCATTTATGGTGATGCTGTGATTGTCTTGAGGCTAAGTCACTCAGTGTGAAATGCAGTGGGGCTAGTGACTGCCTTTATCACAAATTTTGTGGCTGATCTTGGGCAAGGCACTGATGCTGGAAACCTATATTCATGTTTATCTTTAATTTCTGAGGCAAGTGGAATGTAGGACAAGGGCCTTAATTTCTTCGTGCTTCCCTTCCTCATTTTGTCTTCTACCATTACTTACTAACAATGTTAGCTAGGTGGTAATGCAGGCTAGGGATCGCTTTGAACCTAGTGGAATTAACATATGTGCAAATTTTCATCAACAGGTCCTAAGCCATTTTTGTTATTTGCAAATGGCCAAGATATCCGCCAGATCAGTTTTGATGGAACAGATTATGCAAGTTTACTTGACTGGCAGATGGGAGTAGTCTTAGCACTGGACTCTGACCCGGTGGAAAATAAGGTAAGGCATTAAAAATGAGAGGATTTTGAAGTGTCGCAAGGACAAATGGATTGGACTTTCATGTGCCTTAACCCTTCTGCTCTCAGTGATCTAGATTACAAGTTGTGCTTCTTGTTATTCTGTTGCCTGTCCAGGAGCACAACTGGTACAGGATGCCAAACACTAGTGAAGAGTTTCATCCTTTACTTACCAATTGAATGTGCTTTGTACATTGACATGGCTAATTCACAGAGAATTTGGATTTCTAAATTCATGTCAGGCATGATTTCAGTTTCAAAGAACTTTTGTGTGATTGATAGTTTTCTCCCTTAAAATTTCAGTACTATTTTCTGGAAATATTTTGTGGGTTTTTTTTTCACTGGGTAGCTGTAAAAGCAACAGTATCTTTTTTTTCTGTACAGCTACATCCCACGAGTCCTACTAAATGTACGAGTAATCTTAACAAGAATTACTTCCCATGTCCTGACATTGTTGAACAAAACTGCTGAACACTCGCTGGGTTTATTGCTCTTACAAATTGTATTCCTTATATTACCATACATTGCTGTTGGAAACGGGAGTCACCTCTGCATGAAGAGCTGTTTGTCTGTGTGGCCGCATCCCAGTGCCCTGCCCCTTGCCTGCAGATTTGGGAAGAATAGGAGTTCAGCTGTGCTTTGCTAAACCTTCTGTGGCAGATAGTTATTTTTTCCCATGGTGAGACTTATTTACACTGTAAAAGTGTTAAGAAAGATGCTGGATGGTGCAGTGAAAGCTGATGAGGAGCCCGGTTAAGTTGCTGGAAACATCTCGAGGCCTGGACGAACACAGCTAAACAAATGCGAACGTTAACAGACCTGTGTTACAGGAGGATCATTTCAGGCGCTGCTGGAACATCGCCACTTGCTCCTGAAATAGGGCCCTGCTGGGGAACTAGCAGTTGTTCCGTGCTCTGCTGAACGCAGATCAGCTGCGCCGGTGAGGCCGGGTGTGCAGCCTTGTTCCGCTTGTGCAGGGAGCTCTGCACGCCGGCGGGGTCGGCAGCGCGCGGGAGAGGAGACGTGCACTGGGCCAGCCAGGCTGCAGCAGCCTGGTCCTGGTGGCACGGAACTGAGGTGCAAGGCAAATTAGCTCAGCATCGCTCTGTGCTCCCGTGGTAATTGAATTAGCTGGTTTAATGCTAGAGGCCTCCCTCCTGCTTTGTTTGGCCTCGTGTTTAGCATCAAAACTAAGTTATTTGTTTTGTTGCTACCGTTTGCCAAGAAAGCCTCGGCATTGCTTTGCATATTGTTCTGCCATACAATGTTTGGCTCCTTCTGGATATCAAATGCAAGACAATTTTTTTTTCCTCATTCTTGGAAAACACAAACCTAGTTTCCCCACCAGCAGAGAACTTTTATGTTGATCCAAAACTGAGAAGCCTCTTCTGGAAATGTCAGAGCCTTACAGAATAGACACCTGGTAAAAAATTAAGGTAAGTGCAGACTGAAAGAGGAAAAAAAAATAGAAGAAAATTATATAACTCCTCTTCCCTTCCCAGCTCCTTGGCACACATACACTACTCCTCTATTCTCCCTGCTCAGCCCGTTTTAAAATGAGCAGCCAGTGAAATGATAACATACTTCTTTTTGCCTGCGCCTACTCTTGCTTCCTCAGCTGTGCTTCATGTGAGGTAGCTGCTTGCCGAAACAAAACCGCAGGATATTCAGAGGGCTGTATATAGGGCAACAAGGATTTACGGCTAAGCACAAGCTGCCTGTAGAAGTCATCCTGGTTGAAGGATAAGTGCCTTTTTATTTGATCAGGGATCACAGGTTACCTGTGCAGCTTTTTGTGAATAAGCAGTTCAGGGAACTTTCAAGATGAAAAAGTTATTTTAGAAGTGGAACTATTAGACAAGGGAAATAGAGCAGAAAGTGAGATGGGAACTAATAACACCTCATCTGTTATTTCTTCACAGATTTACTTTGCCCACACCGCCTTGAAATGGATAGAACGAGCTAATCTGGATGGCTCAAATCGTGAAAAAGTTATTCATGAAGCTATAGATATACCCGAAGGCCTTGCTGTGGACTGGATTAACCGTAAATTGTATTGGACAGACAGAGGGTACATGCTCCATAGTGCATTTATGTTGAAGCATGCGATAAAATATTTGGAATAAATGACTGTTGGTACAGAAATAGCTGATATATCATCCTAAATTCAGTAACACTTCACATTCTGATTGGGTAGCTGTAATCTCAAGTATATACAGTTGGAAGGTTCTTTAAAACTGAAACACTGGAAGTTCACTTTGAGTCTGCTATTGTATTTTTATCTTCGTCTTTCCAAGAAGCAAGGGTTTGGATTCAGTTGCAAGGAATCTAAAGCACGTACTGCATATATACATATACGTATGTGCACATGCGCATGTGAATATATATATGTCTACATTTCTATTTATATACATACACTGCATGTGTGTATATATACATATATCTTTATATCTTTTTATATATATACACACACATATATATATTAAAAAAAAAAAAGTATTACTGTACTGAGTATGTCTTGGGCAGAAGTCAGCATTGTTGACAGCTAGAATCATGCCTATTTAAGCTAATGGAGAGTCTTTGTCAATTATCTCTAATAAAAGAGGAATGACCACTGGCAGACAATATTACTTCACATTTCAGCTAATATCTAACCTTACATGCAGAGAGAAACAAAACTGACCTTTGGTGAAAAGGCAGTGTCAAATCAGAACACATAATGAAGACTCCTTGAGAGTGGTCATGATGTTTCAGTGTGACCGGTAATTTATTAGTCAATAAAAAGTGGGTTTGAATGCCCAGATCACCTTCTTTCTCCCTTTTAAATACGCTGCTAGTCCACTTCCTCGTTATTAGGTACAATCTTGTCTACATGATTGCACTCCTGTATAAATATGCCAGTGTTTCTTGTGAAACGGGAAATTGTGGTGCTCGACTCTGTAGGACAAGAGTCAAGGGTGAAGCTGTGAATTTGTATCTGCCACTTCCTTCTCACACTCACTGCATTTACCTGTTTGTACTCCACGTTTGCATGAATATATTTCTCCTCCCATCTTCATGTGGCCTTTCTTTGCAGGTTCAGATAAGCATGGAAGGCTGTAGGCTTGCGTTCAGGTAGAGGCTGATACTTGTTTGGCAAGGTGAAGTTTGTAGCAATAAGTACAGTTTTCTGGAAGAAAGTTGGATTCGGGGACTGGCAATGTAGGTTCTATCCTTGACTCTGCCATAGACTTTATGAGTGATCATAAGGACCTTACCTTCATTCTTTCCTGTAAAATAGATATAATGTGTAAAATGGTTGGCAAGTTCTGGATGAAAAATGCTATGCAAAAGTACTATTTAAGAAACTTCTTTATACATTCGATAATGCCATTCAGTTAGGAGCTTGTTTTCCTCCTGACTCCCTTTAAAGCTAACACTGATCTATTAGCGATCATACTTCCAACTCATTATTTGCCCAGAAAAGGAGAACTTCATGTCTCCTGCAGAGCAGCAGGTATTTTATCATCATGACCTGGACCAGATAACGAGGCGGTAACATGAATTACTTGTTGATAAAACAACTAGACATTGTACATCAGCAGGATTATTTCCTGTCATCGTAAAGTTACATATTACAGTTTTGTGCTAAACTAAAGCAATGCAAAAACTTAGTACATTCTGCCTGAGAAGGTAATTAAAAAGATAGCAGGGAGGACCTAACAGTGCCATGTGTGTTGCAGGAAGGCATGCATTGAAAGGAGCAATCTGAATGGAATGCAAAGAAAAATGATCATCTGGGAGGATATCTCCCAACCCCGAGGGATTGCTGTTCATCCATTTGCTAAGTAAGGAATGATTAACCCAGTTAATTGTGTAATACTTGGGGAGGCTTTTCAAAAATGAGCATGCCAGCCTTGCCCTTTTGGCAGTCAAAAAGTACATTAGTCTTATGTTAGGATAGTCGTTGCCTTGCAGAGTTGTGTGAACTGCAATGTTTTATTGCTGGGTTTCTTTTGTGAGTTGGGACATGTTCATTTCTCATATAGATTTAAAAAAATGCCAGAAACATTGAAGATATTGTGTGCGGTTTAAGCTAAACAATAGCATGAGCAACTGAGGTCACCCTGACAGTTGTAAGCACCACACTACGAACTTTGATGGTTCCATATCTATTAGCATGAAGAAGGTAGTCACTTTTAACCAATGGTGCTTACAAAGGATTTTTTTCACCATGTTTCAGTTTCTGAGGAAACTAAACCAAATCTACTGTTGTGGAGATTTGTTGATTTAAATGCACCTTATATCTTCTTATCTAGTGCTGAGATGATCACAGCAGTTTTGGATGTTTAAACTTTTGATGAAATTCTGGCCATTTTAATGAATGGCAAAGCCCCATGGACTACAGTCAATATGGCTGTAGTAGGATGATTTAAAATCTTTTTTTTTTTTTTTTTGATGCTCTTATCCTGCTATAACTAAGTACTGATGAATGAAGGAATGAAGCCAAGTTGTGGTGCGTGTTTTGTTAACTTCACTCTGGACATAAAAGACCTGAAAGAATCTTTCAGTAAAGGTTGAACACAATAGAGACATTTTGCAGGAAAACTTTTATGAACAAGTAGGTTCAGGGAGATTGTTCATTAGAATTATTGGTAGAGGCAAAGCCTACTAGGGGAAAGAGCGGAGGAAACATCACTAAAACCTTCTTTATTAGAAAGTTAACAGTGAAAGGAGGAACAGACCTTATAGCAATGTCCATAATTGTAAAGTCAGTATTAAAGAGGATCTGAGACACAATTAAGGCTACTGAAAATACTGATCCCTGCATTGGCTACAGCAAAACTGCTCATGTAAATAAAGCTAAGTGAATCCGTGGGTTATTTCAGTAAACCTGACAGAGGCAGCTGATGCCTGGGAAGACTGGAGTCCAAACTTCAGCAGTAATTTGTGATTTTGACTATCCTCATTGTGAGCTGCCAGGTAGCACTGTCCATTCATTGAAAAACAGTAAGCACTCAGTGACTAACACTCAGGACTCTAGAGGGAGACCCTGAGAATCATGATTTTATTCAAAGAAGAAAAGAGGCTGGGCCTGATATTGGTTTATTTTTTAAAAACAAAATAACCTGAGGACTCTTGCTTGCTTTCTGTGAGTGGTGGGTAATTTTGGTTCCCTTTCTGCATTGTTATACCCTTGTTTAGACAAGGGGCTGGCTAATGCATCATCTTCTGTTGCCTGGGTTTGCTAAATCGCTGTCAGCAGTCACGTGCAAAATGCAGAAAGCAGATATGAAGAGTTGGCAGTTAGCACAGGTGGGAGTTGTTTTTCAAAGGTTTTGTGCCAATGAACAGAGTGGGGATTCTGCTTAAGTCCCAGTGTAATCACCTGGAGTCTTATGGCAAGTGTGAAAAGATCAGCAGCCAATATATTTGCTTGAAGTGTGCACTTTTTCTCATGTGCCCCAGGCCTGTATTGCTCTGATCTGATCTTTCTGCTTTGAAAGAACTCCATGGAGAGGAGGACAAACATTTACTTACTGACTTCCTGTATGCATTTTGTTTTCTAAAGGAGATTATTCTGGACTGACATGGGGGTCAGTCCCCGGATTGACAGCTCTTCATTAGAAGGCATCGATCGCCAGGTTATAGCCCGTACTGGTCTGGTGTGGCCCAGTGGAATAGCTCTCGACTACTTAGCCAACAAGGTGTACTGGTGTGATGCTGAGCAGTCGGTGGTTGAGAGTGCAAACCTGGATGGTTCTGGTCGTCGAATTCTTGCACAGAATGATGTAGGTGAGGCTTTGGGGTTGATAATTACCTACTGCTGCTTGTCAATATGCATGTGTATCTGCATATGTGCATGTGAATTACAGGCCAGCAGCTGTGCTGTATATCCCATGCAACCCTGTGCTGAAGTTAATGGCATCACTTAGTTCTTCATTCTGTTACCCAGTTGCCTTTATTTATTCATTTTAGCAAAAGAACACCTTTCTAACACTCTTTGCTTTTACTAAGCGGCCACTTTGCATTGTACAGAGAACTTCTCTGCCTTCACAGAAAAATGAAAAGAAGGGAAAAGTTAGAAATGTTGTTTGCTTGTCCCATGCATGGCTGCTTAGTGTAATTCAGGTTTTGCTGTGTTTGTCACACCAGTGAGTTATATTGATGTAAACTGGAAAAGAATTAATCTTGGCCATTAAGGACCCTGAGCAACAAACCTGCATCTGCACAGTGTTAAACACTGGGATGATTCTAAATACACAATAGACACTGAATGGAAAAATGATTTATGTGATATGCTGGTAGTTGTTATGGCTGAGATTTCTATTGTTTGGCACATAACTGTGTTGTTGTAGAGCAAGAGAACAGAAATATTAGCAATGAGGAACTGATGTTGTACCACATCTAAAGTAAACCATATGTTTAAAAAACCTTGTACATGGCAAAGTAGTTTCTGGAAAGGACAATTCCCTTTGTGCATGATATCTCTCTGGGGACCATTTTGTAGGTGTGCATACAAAACATGGGCACAATGAGGACTCTTGGCTCAATACCATGACTGCCATGGGTAAAGAGTTTACAGTTACTCTGTTAAGCAGCTGCTGTTCTAGTGCATGCTCTGGGAAGACCTGTGTTCATCTACTAAGCCAGATGCCCTCCCACTTGTTTGAAGGTGAGCAGAGTGAGGTCTTGGAGAGAGCAGTGTTCTCCAGTTTGTAAGACATCAAAAGCCCCGAGCAGAGTGACTTCCCAGCATTCCTCTCTTTTCCCCTGCTGTACGTATTCTGCTGTATGCTCCACCTTGCAACTGATCTGCAAAGCAGGACTGTGAAGCCTGTTGACAGTTTCACTTTGTTCCTCCACAAGGAAAGACACAGTGTCGTATGGAAGAAAACAGAGAAGGAAAGCTAGGAGCGCTGGAGAAGCACAGGGTATGGGAAAGGAGGTAGGCTTGGAGCAGTGATACGGCTCTTTGGAGGTGGGAAAAAAGGACATCAATACCTGTATGGAAAGAAGTGAAAGAGATGAAGTGCAGACCTGTAGGGGTATGAATATAGAGGGGCAGAGAGACTTGATATCCTGATGTTTTGCTAATGCTGTTAGTGAGACCAGGATTCAGCTTCTGTTCTTGGACAGCTGTACACTCGAGGACAGGAAGGTGGCGTCTCTTCATAGGCATTCTGCTGTAACATGAATTTTTATTACAGCAGCTCCCTCTAGTGCCCCTGTACTGAGAATTCATTCAGTACAGCTGCATGCAAAATAGGTAAAATTATTTCTGCTCTTCTGCTAACCCCCTTTTCAGCTGTGAGTAAAACAACCTGTAAGCACCTGGCAGTGAACAACACAACCATTCCTTTTGTTTATGCAATGGGTCAGGCTTGCACTGTTGTGGAAAGGGTTCATGTGATTATTTTTCTGTTCCTGCTATCACCATTCATGACAATACACTTCTATTTTTAATCCTTAATTTATTTATAAGTTAAGAGGTCGATGAATTGCAGGTCAAAGCAGGGTGTTGTTTGTTGATAGTGCAAGATATAGATCCTAAAATTGTGAGTAAATGTTTGGATGGGGCCAGTATCTAGATCTTGGGCTAGTTGCTCAAATTTCATGGAAAGAAAAACCAAGAACCATGCCCAGCAATTAAGCATGGTTCACTGGAGGTAGTGAAGTGCTAATAGAATAACAATATGCTCTTCAGCTTAACACTTAAGAACACTTAAATGGTGTCTTAGAATTTTTTTTTTTTTTTTTTGTGTAGGAGTGGGGTTTTTTCAGTTTATTTGTGATGTGTATTTAGGATATACTAACACATACTCCTTCTCCAAAGTTCTAATTTATCTGTTGTTTTGTTTGCTTTTTTGCTTGGCTTTGATTTTTTTTTTATTATTTTTATTTTTTAAACTAATACCTTTTGGGATCCCAATTTCATTACTGAAATTAAACGTCACCTAGTTGAGGTCTACATCAAAAACAAAAAACCAGATCATTAAATCACATGCCTACAAAATATACCTTTCAGAGGGGCTCAGACTGCAGTGGTACAAACTGAGGTGCATATTTAGACTGTGAGTAAGGACCAGGACAAAGCAAACCTGCTTCAGCCAGGAAGCACCCACTCTGAAACGAGGTGGACATCCATGGAAGAACAGTATATGTTCTCACCTTCCATTGCAAAAAGCTTGCCCAAAGGCTATCCTGAAAGCAGGAGATTTCTAAATATATAGAAAGAATGCATAGTCCCATATGGACTAATGACAACTCTCCATCATGACAGAGATATTAAAAAGAGTCAGAATCATTTTGCAAAGATCTTTATAAGTATGTCTACCTTTATATATGAAAGTGTCCTTTGGATTCTGAATTGCTGAACTTCTCTCTGGAAGTTAAACTAGGGATCTGAGTTTTCCTAGTGCAGATAGTGTTGTGCTACTAAGGAAAAATGCTGTAATCTGAACTTGGGGTGGAATTTCTCTCACCTACTGTTAATCATGTAAGTGTTAGGTGCCTGGTCCAAGCTGGTGTCTAGATTCCTGTTGTAATCAGTGAAAAGAGAGGAAGCTCCCTGGATGATCTATTTCATCCTGCGGTTTGTGTTAGCTGTTACTGTTAGTCAGCTGGCTAACAGACAGTGACTAACTAGTCACAGCCTACTGCTGCTAGTTGGCTGAAGTGAAGAAAATTAATTCCCCTCTTGAATTTTGCACTGTGATGACTTGGCTAGCGAATGTCTATGCATGTTTGTATGTACATGTGGATCACTGTATTGCACTTGTGTGTACTTTTGGCACTTGCAGAGACCACACACTGGCTTTGGGGTCCTACCATGAGTCAGTGGCTATAGTGTCTGTAGCTACCAGGCTGCCCTGTGCCGGTACACATATGCAGGATGACACATGCCATGAGCTCCTCTCCTCCTTGTTATGTGAAGGCTGCAAAAGGAGCTGTGTACCTCAGCAGCTCTGTGCTAGGCCACTTACTGGCAGAGGAAGGAGGCAGTCCTTTTCTGAAAGGCTGGTCCCAATGCTACTTCAAGAAATGATGATGTCTGATGTAGAAGCATCTAGTGAACTTGATCTGGTTGGAGGTCACCAGCAGTATAGAAACTGTACTGAGCCAGCCAAGCGTCATAGCCTCCTCTGCTAAAAGCATAAGTAACATGTGCCCATGGTCCATCATTCATGGACACTTATCCCTCCCCATGAGACTTCAAAGTGTAGAAGTGCCTATAGCTATGCCAATGTATAGGAGGAAGCAGACCTGTATGCAGGTACTGCTTTTGTTTATGTGGTTTCTTGTGTATGTCCTACAGATATGGAAATGAGAAATCTAATTTCTTTGTAGGCCACCCTTTTGATGTAGAGGTGTTTGAGGATCACCTTTGGTTTTCCGACTGGGCTAGGCCATCACTAATGAGGGTGGACAAGAAGACCGGCCAAAACAGGGTACGTCTTCGAGGCAGCATGCTGAGACCCTCATCAATGGTTGTAGTTCATCCTTTGGCGAAACCAGGTATACTGCAAAAATTAAGCAGTCATTCCCTTCCAGCCTCCTCTTGTTCACTGATATCACTAGAACAGATGTCCCTGGGGAGATGATTATCTTCTCAGAAACAGGCTCTGTAAAAGGTCTTGCATAGTCAGACTGGCATTTATTGAAAGCATCATCTGGGCATGTGTCCCAGGAATGCTAACAGATTTTGTATATTTATGATCAAGCCCAAGAATAGATGCTGATCAATTGCCACAAGGCTACCATAGTCTTCTAATTCCTATTTATCCTAGTTTATTAGCACCCCTCACACACACAAATGATAACAAATGACATGGAGAAAGATTTTGTAAGATTTATTAGTTTTGGATCAAATAATTTGATTTTCTGTTGGGAACAATCTCCCTGTAAGCAGAAAAAAGTAATTCAATAGACCAGGATTGAGAGAAGGTAATCACAGGTTCCCTATGCCCTTGTAATGTTCTTTCAGGGAATGCTAGGACTCTAAATATTAAAGGAGAAATAATGAAGGAAATTTTAAAAAAAAGTGATAAATTTATAAGACAGAGAGTATGCGAATTTGCTTTCCTGCCAGAGGCTAGGTGATAATATATGCTTTATATATGTGTCTGGTTTTAATTAAAAAAAAAAAGGATGTTCTAGTTTTTGTCAGTCCTTACTCTTTTCCCAACTGCTTCAACTCTGCACAGCTAACAGAAGATGTTGCCTGAAGAAGCAGCTTGTTAAGTTGCCTGTTTTTCTGCATTAGGGGCAAATCCTTGCCTTTATGAGAATGGAGGCTGTGATCAGATCTGTGAAAACAATTTTGGAGTTGCCCATTGCATGTGTCATCCAGGATTTGGGAAAACTCGAGATGGAAAAACCTGTCATGCTCTGGATGCTTCCAACACAACAGCAGGTACAATCCTCCAGTTCCAAAAAAGACCCTCTCCAAACCCTTGAGGATCCTGACAGAAAGGATTGGAAAATATTCACCTTGCTCTACATAATGAATGATGGTTTCTTTGAAGAATGAAAACACTGGGATGCTGTCCTGGGACAATAACATGTTTTCTGACCATTGTAATTTTCCCCTTGGCTTATTAGCAGTAAGAGAGATGTGTGCAGTGCTAGCAAGTATTGTGAGCAATGAGTTGCATTCCTTGTCTTTTGTATTTGAGAAAACCCACCAATGAGTGGTTTTAGGAATAATTTGAGGCCAGACACAGGCTAGTCTGGGAGGATATTGATGTTTGTTTTGAAAGGAAACCCCCATGATTATTGGAAAGTAGACAAGTGACAGAAAATGAGAAAGTTAGTTCATTTAAATAGTCTGTGTCACTTTTTTCTTCTCTTTTTCAGGAAGCATCTCTGTGCACGAGGGGGTAGCACCAATGCCAACACCAGAGACCTTACTCCGGAGCACACAAAGCAGTGGGATATTCAAGGATACAGAGAGTGGGGAAAAGAAGATCAGCATTTTGTTGATGGCTGAAATCATGGTATCAGGTAGAGTCCAATGATTTTCTTCCTTTATTTACTGTGGGGCTCTGGACAGGTTTATAGAACTGAAAGAAATCATAGGCCTGAAAGGAAGAAAGGCTCATTGTCAAGACTGTGGCATTCACACTCTTAACCCTCTTACAAGAAGCTGGGTCTATGCAATTATGCCAGGTAGCACTGCTTTTTTGTTTGTCTCCATGTTCCTTTGCTATGTCAGCAAAACTTGGTAATATTATCCAGGTCTAGAGAGCAAACATTTCTAATTTGGAACACTTGTGAAAGGCTCTCCCTTAGATTTTCTAAGTATATTAAGTACAAATCTCTCAACAAAATTGCAATAGAACCATTGAATTCTACATACGTTCAATGACACTAGATCATGAAATTGTACAATAGGTTTTGCATACAATATTCAGAAATCCTAATACTAAACCGACCCTTCAACTCCACCTCGACAAAGACTACAGCCCTAATGATTGTATTGGCTTATCATAACTAACCCCGGAGAGCTATGTTTCAAACTTGGACTGTATGTTCTCGTTTTCTTGTTAGTTTTTTGCTTGGTTGGTTGGTGGGGTTTTTTATATATGGTACTGTCCTGGTTTCAGCTGGGATAGAGTTAATTGTCTTCCTAGTAGCTGGTATAGTGCTATGTTTTTGAGTTAGGTATGAGAAGAATGTTGATAACACACTGATGTTTTCAGTTGTTACTAAGTAGTGTTTATACTAGCCAAGGATTTTTCAGCTTCTCATGCCCAGCCAGCAAGAAGGCTGGAGGGGCACAAGAAGTTGGGAGGGGACACAGCCAGGGCAGCTGACCCAAACTGGCCAAAGGGGTATTCCATAACATGTGATGTCATGCCCAGTATATAAACTGGGGGGAGTAGAGGCGGGGGGATTGCCGCTCGGGGACTAACTGGGCGTTGATCAGCAGGTGGTGAGCAATTGTATTGTGCATAATTTGTATATTCCAACCCTTTTATTATTACTGTTGTCATTTTATTAGTGTTATCATTATAATTAGTAGTTTCTTCTTTTCTGTTCTATTAAACCATTCTTATCTCAGCCCACGAGTTTTACTTCTTTTCCCGGTTTTCTCCCCCATCCAACTGGGTGGGGGGGGGGAAGTGAGTGAGCAGCTGCATGGTGCTTAGTTTCTGGCTGGGGTTAAACCACGCAAGTACCTCCTTTGGTCCAAATGCATCTAGTAGCTTTTTTTGGTTTTGTTTATGCTATAGATCAAGATGACTGCACTGCACTAGAATGTGACGTCAATGCACAGTGTGTTTTGCTGGAAGATGGTGCTATGTGCCAGTGTTTGAAAGGATTTACCAGGAAGGGGAAATCGTGCTATGGTAATACAAGACATTAATACAACCTTCTGGAAAACCGTAGACTAGGAGAGAGGAAAAAAATCTATATTTTCTCACATTGGCAGCTCTGCTGCGTGATCCATCACAGAAAGGTCAAAGGTATTGCTTGTTTTGAAAGAGATGATGAGCAGAGAGCATGTGGGATGAAATGGCTAATTATCACATGCCTTATTTTCCCCTGAGTCATGAGTGTTAATCCTATTAATATTAACAAGCAATAATGGTGATAATAGAAATAAAAGCATAGTATGTTTGTAAAAATTGCCTAATTAGAAAAGCTTAGTCCATAGACATGATAGTTGATGTATAATTTAGAAGTATGTATTAAGGAATCTCTTAAAAATTAGTATTCCTGAAGTAATGTTTACATAAAAATGCTGCTCTTGTTTCTTTCTAGCAGTAAAAAGAAACTCTAACAATCAGACAACACATTGCTCAGAGTGGTCTTTAAGTTTTTGGACTTTCATACAACATAAGTGGAAGCACTTTGTTCTCTCATAAAGGCCAAGACAGGAAGGCATTAGAAACAATTTACCAGTTGGTGTCTGAGCGTGAAGACTCACAGGAGTCTATGTTGCTATGGAAAGGAAAAAAAAAAAAAGGAAGGTGAAATGAATGTAATTTTTTTTTCATTGTGGTACCTTTTTTTTTAAGCTTATGTGTTCTTTCTGAAAGCAAAGTTTCTCTCTAAGTAGGGTTTAAGAATATAAGGCTAGTTTTGAATAGGATCATTCCCTTCAAATGGGAATTTTTTTTTAAGCAAGTGGTATTTGTGGAACCTCTAGGTCTCCAGTTGAAAGTAGCTGGTTGACTGTCTTAGGCTCTTTAGAACATCCCCATCAAATTTCATACCAACAAAAGACCACAAAGCCCTTCTCTTCCTATTTGCTTCAGATGCACAAATGACAAGTGACAGCATAGTCTGAGGGATATTCATTATGTAGACATTTCTTTATATCGATTTACCTGATGGTTTCATGACCCATGTGTCCCGCCTCCTTGTTTTGTCTTGCAGATGTTGATGAGTGTGCTGTAAATATGGACCACTGTAATCGCAATGTGTCGGGCTGTATCAATACGGAAGGGGGCTACGTCTGTAAATGCCTGGAGGGCTACACTGGAGATGGAGTCCATTGCTACGGTACGGGCATGCGCGAGGGCTGTGCTGTATCTGGAAGGCTGGGGCAGGATGAATAAGCAAGAGACATGTCTTATGATTTGGGCTAGCCTTGCATCAAGCTATGAAGCTGTCAAATGAGCTCTTCTCATTCTTTTTAAAAATCTGGTAGGGGCATGGACCCTAACAGTGGCTCCTCCAGACAGTTGACATTTATCGTTTCTTCCTTTTTTGATTCTTTCCTTCCTGTTCAAAGTGTGGCAACCCCAGTAACTGATCAATATGCAAAGCCTGTAGCTGTCAGTGGATACCTCCTCTCAGTGTTTGCACTCCTTTTAGTAGCTACAGCAGGAGAGAGAGGAAGAGTGGAGGGGAGGAGGGAAGTGGAGGTGAAGCAGTAAAGTTTTATTGGAAATCGTTGCCATGAATATAAACGAAAGCAGGTATTGAGTGTGTCATAATACTCATCAAATAATTCCAGGTCTGTTTAATAGGCATGAGGTTCAAGGTGTTGACACTGACAACTTGAGTACATTTAGAGTCTTGTTAATAATCAGACCCACTGATTTTTCTCATCCAGCTCTAATGCCAGGTCTTTACTTCATTCCCTACATTTCTTAATTTTTTAATCCATTTTAGCAGTAAATATGATGGAACAGGAAGTTCCCCCCCCCAGTATTTGACTAGCACACAATTTGTTCAGAGCTTTATGAGAGTCTTGGCTTCTCTTTTGTCCTTTCTTTTTCCTTTTTCCTTTATAGCATAATTCAAAGCCTATTAAATTTGACCCAATTCTTACATAGTCTTTACTGGGCTTTGGTTCTTCGACACAGATAAGGATGACTGAAAAATTAAGAACAATATCATTATTATGGGCAGGGTGTGGAAAGTATCAGAGGCAGGAGGTTCGAGAAGGCATTCTGCGTACACTGGTCAGAGATCCAGAGCTTATGTCTTTGAGGATGTTTGCAAGTGCAGGCAGAAGTGACAAGCTCCTCTTGCTGTCCCAGTACCACCTACAAGGCATGTCCCCAGGCAGCCCTTGGATCTCACTGTCTGTGGTATCATTGCTCAGCTAGAATGATTGTGGTACCTACCACTATTATTGAAAAACAGTCCATTATCTTCCTGAAGTCTTTGAGTCCAGAATATGGTAATATATATTTTCACAGTATTTTATAAATGATGCAATGTTGCTATGATGTAAACAGAATTCAAACTAATTTTGTATTTGATGACTTGAAATATACTATAAAGCCCAGAAACTGGTAAGTAAGTAATTTTATACTTCAGTTTTAGACACCTGCATGCATGCACAGTGTCTAGAAATGTGTCAGTACATCCAGACAAGGTACAAGATGAGTTCATGTTGTGTTGTTGAAATCACGTTTCTTGGAACATGCTGCAACAGTTTTGTTCTTGTATTTTTGCTTCTAAAATTGCTCTGAATTTTCTATACTGTTTTGGGCCAGACCCTGTTAATTTTACTGTAGGAAAAGTCCCAGTGGTTTAAGCAATAATTTCACACAAATTGGGATGGTAGATCTGTGATTTTGTTTTCCCAAAGTAGATCTGGCACATGTATTCTGCTGACAGTTCATAAAATGAATCAGAGGCTCCCAAACTCTGGTATGTGAACCCTTTCAAAGTTCCCACCTTTGAGGGGGTGCTTAGGCAGGTGCCAGCCCAGGGGGTGAGTGCCAGCCTGGCAGGAGCTGCCGCCATGGGCTGTGCTAGAGAAGGTGTGGAGGCAGGGTGAGGGTGTGCAGCAGGACGTGGGTGAGAGGAGTATAGGAACATAACACAGGCTCTGAGCCTGGAAACTCTTCTTGTAATCAGGGAGTCTCTTCATAGTAATTCAGAGACTCGCTTCATTTAAGTGTTTACACAAACCGGATAAACCTGTAGGTTTCTAGACCCTTTCATTCTGTCTAAACTTTTTGTTTAGGCTGGACCAGGCGGGTGGTACAGGGGTGGGCAACTCCCCACTCCCAAACCCTTGTGCTGTCTTAATGCAAAAATGCCAACTGACAGTACTCTAGTATTCATCCAGTGTGCGAGCTATGACTAGCAATGCCAGGAGAATATAAATACAAATAAGTCTTCTCTTCAACTCTAGTGTACTCATTACGTGTCATGGGGAAGCTTTTCCTTCCTTCTTGTGGAGATCTTCTGCAGCAGCATAGTATGCTCTGAGTGGCTGGGCAGGCTGTGATTACTTCATGTAGAAAGTATGCTGGTTGCTCTTCCATTATGTTTTCCATGAAGGCATATCTGCAGAGGGAAAGTCTTTGGTGTTTCTCCTCACTGCCAGGAGACTGTAATGCTGCAACTGCTGCCCTTTTAACTGATGCTCTGAGGCCATTTCATTCTTCTAACTGCAGACTGTTTGGGTGACAGATATTGATGAGTGCAAGACAGGGTCCCACACCTGTGGAGAGAACATAACCTGCACAAATACAGAAGGAAACTTCACTTGCTCGTGTGCTGATGATGCTTCTGGAACTGGCATCGGTTGCAGTGAGTAAATGGAGTGAGCAATTAAAAAGGAAGTGGCCCTTGACTAGGTACTGTGCTCTTGGATAAATTTTTATACCTGGAAATTAAGGAAGGCCTGTATAGTGATATACTGGGCAGCTTGTGGATCCATTTAGCCTTGCTTTAGGAGGCTGTTCTGAGGTGGGCTAAGGAGACCAGATTCGAGTTTAGTTTGGAAATATCTACATTAAAGTTTAATGCTAATTTTCACTGTCTAAATGTAATGACACATTTATCTAGTAGCCTTTACAAACAGCAGCAGAAGTAAATGCTCCTTGGAGGTAACATTTTTGGAGGTGATTTCAGTCTGTGTAATTTTCCAAACTCTCCATGCCTTCTTTCGCTCTGCAGAAGGCTAGCACAAAAACTGAACATAATTTAAGTCCCATTTAATTCTTCAGAATAAGCTAGTCTTTCAAGTCAATTTTTCAAAAGGGCTCTGAAACTCTTTAGAAAATCTGGTTACCAGTTTAATTAAGGGAGCTGCTGAAGGTTCAGCACTAGTGACTGTCTGACCCTCATTTCAGTGCCTCAATGTGACAGCAGCATTCTCTGAAAATGTGGCGCTAAGTGACTCATCATCTTACTCTGTGTCAGCCCTCTGCATCGGGGTGAATTTTACTCAGATCAAGTGACACTCTGATGATGGAGGGACACTGTGTGATTGTCACAGATTTGTTTCTGCAGAAAACCAGAAGGAAATTATGGCTTTTTTAAGTAGAACACCTATCAGGATCCCTACCCCCCTTTTCAGTTACTTAAGTTTTCAGTAGTTTCAGGTGTGACTCAGGAAATGATGATTTTAAATGATGCATGACTTGGAAGTAATGCCTTCTAGGTTGCTCAGCTGTAAGTCTGATCCCATGTCTTCAGGGATGTTAACACGCTGTTTTAATTCTTTGCCTAATAAGCTCTTCTAGCAAGTTGAAATTTTCTTTGCAGAATGCAGTCACACCTGCAGTTCACTAAAATCACTCATCCCTTTCGATTCAGGCTCTTTGCCATGGTAGTTCTTCTGCAAATGAAATTTTAAAAACCAAATGTCATTGAAGGTCATGTTGCAATAGAACTTGTGTGAGTCATAAAACTGATCCCATAAATGTATGAGAGTGATTAGGAGCATTTCTGCTAAGCCATACTGCTAGAAATTCTTTGCCATGTAGATGTGTCATGGTTTAAACCCAGCCATCAACAAAGCACCACGAGGCTGCTTGCTCACTCCTCCCTGCCTCCTCCAGTGTGATGGGGAGGAGAATCAGAGAGGAGAAAGAAAAAAAAACCACAAAACCAAATAGAACCTCATGGGTTGAGATAAGGACAGTTTACTGGGACAGCACAAGGAACGAAGTGACAACAACAACAATAGTACTGATAAAAGAATAGACAAAGCGAGTGATGCACAGTGCTACTGCTCACCACCTGGATCCCAACACTCCTCCACTTCCCCTGCTGAGAAACCACCCCCCAGCCCGCTCCCCAGTTATATACTGAGCATGACGTCACATGGTATGGAATATCCCCTTGGCTAGTTCAGGTCAGCTGTCCTGGCCCCCTCCCAGCTTCCTGTGAAAATTAACACTATCCCAACCCATCCCAGGACAAGCTGTTTGGTTCTGACCTATAGATTTGCTGTAGCATGAAAGTAGGCAAGAAAGCGCTCCTTTTCTGTAAGGGCATGTTTGCACTGTAGGTCATGCTGTCCAGAGATATTAGAGCTACCTTTAAAACTAGGTAGTTTGAATACCTATGTAGGTGACAGTGTGTGCAATTCACAGAACCCTCTGAAGAATTGGGTCAATAGAGTTCCCTGCTTCCCCAGTGATGCTGTTATCTGTACCTGAGCTAGCTTGAAACAATAAAAAATGTGATCTGCAGTCACACACGGATGCAGTCAACTGGACGGCAGCAGAGTAGAAATAATCTGCATAAGAATGACAAGTTGCATGTAAAAACTTCTCAGTCTGAGATCCAAGTGCATGAAATACAGTCACCCTTCACCTGTACATCTGACTGGTATTTTATGCATTGTAGAGTTTTACTATACCCTAAAGCTGCGTAAGTTGCAAAAATAATTTAAGCGTAAGTAACTAGACAGCCAGTGCAGTTTTTCTTCAGACCTGTGCTCACACATCTAAACAGACAGAATGCTGCCAACCGCTGTGGGTTTTTTTGTTGCAAATCTAGAATCAAGCATATTTAGTATTTTGATCTAAAGTTCTGTGTGCCTAAATTTGATAAGCAACATAAGTAAATAGGTAAAACACAAGTAATTGGTCGAAATTAGAGATTTTTACCTACTTTCCTATCTTGAAGTCCTGGAACTCTTTTGTAAGATCACGTTGCCAATGCAGCCAAAAGTTTTACATGTCCTTGTGAAATCCTGTGTTTCAGAATCTACTGTGTCCCCCACTGTTGTCAGCAATGAATACTCCACACACCCTGTGCAAGGTGATATTGTAGGATGCCCTCCTTCGTACGAGTCATACTGCCTCCATGGTGGAGTGTGCAATTATGTTTCTGATCTGCAAGACTATGCCTGCAAGTAAGTACAGAAATTTGTATTGTCTGTGCTGATGAATGGTATCCTTAGGGCTCAGTTGAGTGCAGATGTGAAGTGTTTGTCCATAAATTATCTGTTCATTACTCATGCTAGCAATTATCATTAGACTCTGCTCTTTTCTGTAAGTGATCACTGTAAGTTTCTGTAAGTGGTCACTCCATTCACACCCGTTACAATTAATAGTAGGATTCGATTTGTTTCCTAAGCACTCGATTCTTTGCTTTGGAAATGTGAGATAAATTGTTAAATGACTTAGTGCTCATAGCTTTATGAAAGATGTGCTTGCTCTCTCTCCTTTATGTGTCATGCTGACTTGTACCTCCCTGTCGGCCTTGCTGCTCATGTGTAGCATTCACTGGGATGGAAGAGGACACCTCTGTCTTGTCTTCTCTGATTGGGACCAGGGAGGAGAAGCCTGGTGTCAGCATCTTCCCTTACAGTTTGAAGAGTCTTGATTCCTGGCAGAAAGGGTACAACATGATGGTCCTCTTAAAAACAGGGAAAGTAGCAATGAGACCTCAAAATCGAGACCTCCTTCCTCTTGTCAGTATTTTTGTGAAGCCTAATTTCTGGTTCCCCAAATGCAGTTACTGATAAAAGCAAAGAGAATCTTATCTCTCCAGAAGTCAGCCTTGGTCTGGTCAATGTGATGGCCTAGTCCCATGGGGTAATCATTTCTTCAAAACCATTAGTGCTGGAACTTAATTGTGTAACTTGATTATATTTGAATCTCTCTTCTATCTTTCTTCAAAATCAAGCATAGAAGTATTTGCAGTGGGAAAAATCCAATACCTGCGTCCTCCCCTGGGGTCTCACCTGGTAAGTGAGGACCTGTGCAGGGGATGGATGCTGTTCTGTAGTAGGCAAATCTCCCTCTGTGTCTCAGTAACTCGGGTGGCCATGGTGTAACCCTGGAGCGAGGAGAGCAAGCTTTGTGCTGAAGGGTTTCTTTGACCCACCATTCCTCCAGATCTACCTTGTACTGCACTGCAGGAAACTCTGTACCAGGCCATTCCTGCAAGCACTGTCAAATCCTAGGCTTTCTTATTTTTAAATATGGGTCGTCTCCCCTACCTACAGACCTCTGTACCTGCAGGAATATGAAAAGAATGTATCTCATGTACATACATGGGAATAAAGTGGATGCTTTGTGCCATGGATCTCCTAAGCTCGGCAAAGCCATTACAGGAGATGAGACTCATGGTCATGTCTGGTATATGTTATGAATTTTTAGTGTAAATTTTAGAGGCATTGATAACTATGTTTTTTTCACTTCATTGAGCTTCTCCTATTGAAACTGAAGAGTCTACATCTGCAGAACTTTCAAATCGGATCACATCTTTTTTCTTCTATTTGTCATGTGTTAGTGCAGAATAAGAATCCAAATGTACATATTTTTCGGTTCTGGAAGTGGAAGCCATTTAAAAAATTAAGAAGCAACTGTGCTTAGCCGTTTTCTTGGGGGTCAGGGTTTGTGTGTGGACCTTGCTGAATTCTCACTAGATGGCAGCATTAATTCATGTAGGCTGTATATATGAACTAACAAAACGAAGTAATGGAAAAATGTTATCTAACAAAAATATCTAGCAAAAATCACATACCAAATGTGATTTGTGTTTTAATTAATGAAAGCTCTTACACTACAAAGTAAATCTTCTAGCTTGTTTGGAATTTATTCTGATCTTACATTAAAAATTAGCATTTTTCTGCCTCCTGACATACATGCATTCTAATTTGTGACAGAATGAGAGTGCTTGCGCCTAATTTAATAATGAATGCTGCTATAATGTTTTCAGGACATTAGATAAAAGCTGCTGCAGGTAAATCCTGCTTCTTTTGCTCATTTGACTAGCTCTTCTGACTTGAATAAACTAGACTGATAAGAATTGTGAGAAGGATTTGAACCTACATTGCTGAGAGATTGTTATGAATTGAATAGACTGTTCATTTTTTATGTTTACTATTTCCTTTTTTATGTCTCTCACCTTGGACAGTAAAACTAGGCTGAGATTCTTGATGTATTTCTCACGTCCTAGTAATTTTTGATTTGATGAAATGATAAGTAATTTTTGTATTGGGTTTTACAGTGGTAAAAACAAACAAATAAAAACTACCTACAGAAGAAGCTTGTATTAAAACTAAATTATGAGGATATTTCTAATCCATACTAGTGTTTTTTTTTAAACACTTTCATTCGTCTTTTATTTTAAAGTAAGGATTTAGATTCAAATTTGATTCCCTTAACCAAATCACTCTGAAAATACGAACAAGTCCTATTTGCCTATTTCAAAGAAAGGGAAGCTTGCTGCTGTAAAGAGTTAAATGGAAAATCTTGTGGGAACACTAATCACACGGCAGGACTTAAGAGAAGATTATTTTTTCTATTCTTTACCATTGGAATTTGGAAATTGTAATCTCTGTATAATTCTGTAGGTGATTCAATAGCTTTATAGTAAAAAAAGCCTTCTCATATTGAATTCTACAGGTTTTGACAGCCATTCCTTTAAAGTAATTTTGTCTTCACCATTACTAAATTAAACCAGGTATTTCCATAGCAGTTGCCAATGGTAAATCAATACACAAGGTGACTGAAGTGATGATCCGGGGCTTTTCCTCTGCCGCCAGTTACAAAGTGTGCTCACTTCCTTTTGGCAGCTGTGTGACGGGCTACGTCGGAGAGCGGTGCCAGTTCAGCGATCTGGAGTGGTGGGAGCAGCAGCATGCTGAGCGGGTGAAGATGCGGAACATCACCATCACGGTGTGCGTAGCAGTGCTGGTCCTCCTGCTACTGCTGGGGTCCCTGGCTGCCTACTGCCACAGGTAGTGCTTCCAAACACGTGCTGTGAACGTGTGGCACAGGGACTAAGGTCCTGCTGACTTTCACAGAGAGCTCATGGTGAAGAACACGAGCTGTTCCTCAGCTGGTGGAAATCGCCATGTCATCCTTGCTACTCTTTTGCTTTTCAGTAATTGGATCTCTGAATAATTCAGAAAGTTCTGGCATGTCCCTTGCCTGCAGTAATCACATTGGTGTTAGTGAGTAACATGTGTCTGGGGGGAAGAAGGATAGACCTGATTAGGTTGGAAGAGGAGCCATAATTTGTATTGATGAGAGAGTTCAGGAGCCATGCTATTCACTTCTTCCTTGGTTTCCCTTAAGAGCTCTAGATGTCTGAAACTGTCATGGTAGGGTTTGGTTCTTCTCTGCTAGCTATCCCATTAGTTTGGTTTTGCTTCCCTTTCAGTGTAGAGTGAGAGTTTCCTTGCCATTGAGAAAAGCAGCTTACTAACCTTCCAATAGCAAACTTCCACAGTGATGCCTCCAGCATCTTCCAGTGTGTGAAAGCATTTTACCTGGCAGTAGAAAGAATAAAATTAGGAATGTGAGCCTAAGGCACATCTGTTGTAAAAGTAGTCCCTGGCATTTTCCATGGCTATAATGAATTGTGCAGGTTTGGGATTCTTCTCATGGCAAAAAGAATCCCTACACTCACTGTTTAAGAACCCAGTCTGATGTGAAATTAAATGTCATCGAGGTCCCTTGGACTGGAAAGTATTCAGCATTTAATAAGTTAGAGTCTTTTCGCCATGACCTTGGCAGATAACTGTTCTCAGAGGCTCTTGTTTAAATGCATATTTATATTGAAAAGTAAACAAACAAAAATCCAGACAGCACCCAAATCAAGAGTCTCCTGCTGCATGCCAACCTGCCCTCTGTGGGCAGGGGTTTTGTTTGTGGTTTAGGTTAATTTTAAAATTAGGCTCTCCTAGGCATAAAAAGTTAAGCTACAAAAGAAGTTAACTATGGAAGCCAGTATTTTCCATTCTTATTTAATGGTTCCTAGCATATTTAGTCCATAATAGTAGACAAGCTGCCATGTTTCTTATTTTCTATTAACTAATGGTAGAGGTCCAGAATTAAAGCTAAGTGCAGCCTGGTTTGTTCTCATGACCTGGGATTCAGAAGCTAATCAGTGGAATGAGACATTCAGAATAGACAAATTGTGAGATTCTTATATTTCCCATGTATGTCATATAAACTGTCATGAAAAATAGCTAGAATGTGGCAGGTTTTAAGGTGTGAAGATACTCATTCTCTTCCCTTCCTTTCTCTTTTGTCATTTCTCCCTGATTTACCTTTCTTTCTTGCCAAATGCTTTTGATCAATATAACTATTTACCTCGACAACAAGTTTTCAATTACATGCTTGACTGAATTTGTACTGCAGCTATTACTAGCATAACTAGATCAAAATGAAACCACTGACCTAAAATCCCTATTTAACTGGAATCTGGAAACCAGTATTTGGGTTGAAATTGCTATACTGCTTTTTCACATTATCTACTGTATTTTGAAATATACTGATTAAGTCTTTAATAGTCCTGTTCCTTCCCCTCTAAAATGCAGACGCCTATCTCCTTTTAATTGGAGGAAATTAAGTTGGAGATCCACACTTGCCAATTCAAAAAATGTGTAAACTGGAGGCCAAGAATACCAAAGTATCGTGTTGGTTTGTTCAATGACTTGTCTGCTGAAGAGCACTGTGTCATCCTTAATGTTAAGTTTATGTAGTCTGACTGTATACTATGCCAAGTTTCCTATCTTTCTTGGGAAGCAAGGAAACAACTCTTTTTCCAACAACAAAAAAAATCCGAATCACAGATTTAACACCCACAATCCCTCCACCTCAGTTGGCCAAGGCCATGCAAAAAACGACAGTAGGACTGGGATTAGGATTGAGAAATTCTTGGCCTCTTGCCCATGCTCGGTCAGCTAGATCTCACTGCCTCGTCTGCTTGTGCTCAGTCACACATGAAGACTCCCATGCCTGGCAAGTCCGCCTGGCATCTGTTACTCTGCATGCTGTAAAATAAGATGTAGAATTAGTGATCCTCTTGAGCGGGGCATCCCACTGAGGACCATGCCTGTGTGTGAGCTCTGTGCAATGGATTTTATAACTCTATAGTAATGGGCTTGAGTTTTGTCAGCATTATGAGCTGCAGTGCAGAATGAGCACATCCAGGTGATAAAATATGAACAGCAGCCTTGCCACAGTGTCAGGAAAAGTCAAAAAGGACTATTTTACCTTATTTCTCAGCATTCTGCTCTGTGGATGTACCCTCAGATCCGACACCTATTTGATTTCATATCAGCAGTCCCAATCTTATCCCCTGCTGGAGACAGTTGGGTTTTTTTGTTGTTTGAATACACAGGAACATGTTATGGAGAATCTGGGGAGAAAATCTGTGGTGGAAACAGGTCTTCCTCATTTCTAGCAAAAAGCAAATTTTATTTACATTGTATATTCATGAAGGGAGCAACATATGATAATTACTGCAGATGCACTTTCCAGTTAGTATATGAATATGATGTAGAAATAAAAGGAAAATTCCTATTTTCTTTGGTACATGTCTATTAAATTTCATTTAAAATTGATTGAGTAAAAGGTTATTCTAACTTGAGACTTCCGGAATTTGAAGAGTGTAACATTAATCTTGATAGCTGATGTCTAGATGGAGAAAAAACATGTATGCAAAGTCAGTAAAGATGTACTGATTTGAATCTCAAGCAGTGTAAATGAACTCTTTTTCTTTGGACCATGTTTTCTATGTTGGGGCCTATATGGGCTTTTAATACTGCCTTATTAAGTGATTGCTGTTTTACTGTAAAAATAGCAATTTTTTTTAATTTCTGGAACTAGCCACTTAGAGCTGATTATTTGTATCCTTTTCCAACTGCAGGTTGTACTCTTAGCTTTTTCACCCCTTGAGTTAATTTGTTGGTCATGCTTTTCCCTGGAAATGTCTTAGTTCCAAGGTTTTTGAGGCTTTCAGTTTGTTTATTTCATAGTAATTTTTGCAATTGTTGTTCTCCATACATGATGCAGATGAATGCAGAAGCGACTTTCATAATTTTAACTATGAGTGGTGTACAAAAATATTCAGACTTTTATTTCTGAGCTTCACCCACAAATGCTGTTCATTGTATTGGCTGAAACCTAAATCTTTATAAGAGGAATGTATTATAAAGAGAATGATATAAGAAAATGGAAGGGGGTAGTTAAAATTATGAGGTCTATTGTTTTTTCTAATGAATGACCCTTTACAGATGGCACATTTGAAAAAAAATTTGTTCACTTCTTACTGACTTCTGTTTCTGACAAGCTGTTTGTTTTAACCACTGTGCGGTAATTGACAGTAATACACCCTTTCAAACCAATGAAAGAAAACAAATTATATATCCCTTCTGTAAATACCTATAGAATAATGTGTGAAAGGAAGCAGCATCTGTTCCTCCCAAAGCAAAATAATTTGTTTCAGCTTTTGTTCTATTGCAGAAGTCAAAACTTGTATAAGAAGAATCTCTATGCAGAAGCGATAAGAGATGCCAGCAGCCGCGCTGACAATGAGAACGTGACACCTACTAGCAACAAGTCTCGGGTAACTATATTAATGTGGAGTGGAGAGGGAAGCAGGAAGGATCAAAGAGTGTTAGGGATCCACTTGAGATTATCCATCAAATAATTCACATCTTAAATATATTAAATAACTGCTAGAGTCATCAAGTGCTTTGCTGTGAACCCTAGTTCATCTTACCTCATTGTTATCCCTCAAAGTTCACAGCTGCCTGGATGTATTGCAACCATTAGCCAGTGTTATTGTTAGCTTTGAACACAACAGTTGGGGAACTGTGTTCTAAATTAAGGAAATGGCAATGTGATGACATGGCATATCACGGAGTTATTTTCACAGGAAAGTATGCCCTCTGTAAAAAAGGCTTCTTGGAAGCCAAGTATTGTGTGTGCTACATGAGATGTTGAACTTTTATTTTGGGGGTTGATGAAATGAAATGTCTTTGTCTTAAAAGCTGCTGCCTTGTAAAGAAAAACAACCAGAATGTTATCAGGCAGTTTGGGAGGGAATATAAAATACCAATTTTGCACTGGTGTAGGTAGAAATGCCATCATGATCTGGTTGTACTGGCCTGTTTCTGTTGTCATTTTTGAAGTTGCGTCAGAGAATTTGGCCCCATAAGATCTGACCTAAGGACCTGATTCTCACTGGCATTAAAATGACATTACACTGCTGGGTGATGGCAATTGAAACTTGAAGTTGGCCAAAGTGACAAAATTGGCATCTGTGGCTACTTTTGTGCCCAGTCTGAGACTCCTTTCTCAGAAATGTGTGACTTACCCTAAGAGCTTGTCTGCACACGCATACCATTCAGCTCTGAATAAGCTGCTGTAATGCAGGTATCACCATACTTGTCCAGGTAGCATCACATTAGCTAAGCAGCATCCACTCTTCAAAACAAGCACAGTTATGCCTCTGGGAAAGACTACTGGAAGAGTTTATACTTGTACAGGATTGGTGATAAACTCTAGTGAAGCACACACCTTTTTACTGGGGTAACTGCACACAAGTTTTTCTAGTATAGGTATTACTGCAAGGCTTTAAAGCCTTCCACACCCAACTATAGCTGGAAAGGTACAAGAATTGTGTGCATAGTAGTCATAGTCACAAAAGAATTTGACTTTAAATGGCCTGAAGTTTGACTCTGCTCCAAATTTTTGAGTCCAGAAAGAGATGAGTTTGTTCTAACTGGGAATCTGAGGGGTTGAATATCATGGAAAATTTATAGTGAAAATCCAAGCATTTTTAATCAACCCGAAGAAGGCCTCGCAAATGGTTTAGTTTGAGTGTCTGGCAGGATTTGTGAGTGGGTAGCCACTGAAACACTATCAAATATATGTTGGGAGTACTGAATTTACTTGACCCTGGTTACAACATATTGTTCCTTAGCTGGTCAGCTGCATACTCTTGTGGATCTTTTATTACCAGCACTTTGTTACTCCACATACTGGACAGCAAATGTGCTGAATCGTGACGATGCCATCATTTGTTCATAGCAGAGACAAAAACCACAGCTTGCAAAGTATATGAGGCTGGGAAAATCAGAAACATTTGTTGGGACTGGGAACAGCTCGTTGCCTGGGAGCAGTGCTGTAGGAGGCCTGCAGCTCATCAGCTCTGTCCCCACCTGCTGTTGCCCCCACAGTTAATGCTAGTGGTCAATGATATTTTTGCTGAATATAGGAGTAATTAGACAGCTAAGCAATGGACCGAATCAACAAAAACAAATCCAACCTACTCATTTATTACGCACTCGTGTTAAATTTCACCATGCATTCTTGTACTGGGAGACATCAAATACATTAATAAAGTAATTTATTGCAAATGGTTTGTTGCAGGCTGGAAGAGGAAATCACTGACCCTTTGCTAATTATTGATGCTTACACAGTAATGGATTCCTGTGGTTTCATGCGCGTGATTTGCTCTGTGCTGATGTAGCCATCGAGTGTTAAGTTCACTGGGGCTTCATGCATGCATGCACTCAGGTTAGAAACTGTAGAGTTGCCAAAAAGCAGCAGGAAGTTGTCCATTTCTACTGTTCACTTAAAGTGGATTATTTGGGAGCTTTATGTAAAAAAAGAGATTATACTACATCAGGGATAGAAAACTCTATAGCTCCTCAACTCTTAAGGTACTGGAAGAGGTTTTTGGGTATTGATTTACACAGCATTAATAATCCTAATGAAGGACTTCGTATGGGGACAGGATAATGTGTATGCAATAACTGTAAAGAGCTCATGAAATTCACTTCTTTTGTAACCCATAGTGCTACTGCTCATTTGTGAGACTGGGGAGAGGGAGAGTAAAGACTTTCTTGTTCTTGCCCATCTACGTTAATGCAGAGGATAAAAAGATTTTACACTATCACACATATCAAATGCTAGGTATCATGATACTGAAACTATACCTATAAATTGTCCAAGTGTCATGCACTTTTTCCCTTTACTTCTATTCTGCCAGGTGAGGCTACATTTATCTGAGGGTATGCCTGGATATTTTTTCACATTTGTATTAGAGTTCCATAATCCAGGCTAGGTTTGTCCTAGGGATATGTAAGCCTTGGTAAACTTCTGCACATGCCTGGATTTTGATGCTGTTCTGAGACTTTTCATCCAGCAAGTGTTCTGCTTTGCACAGTCAAAGATATTTTGCAGAACTGTGCAGAGCTGAATCTCCTCCAGGGGTCTGTCACATGTGGGTTAGCAGCTGTAAGCCTACAGATTTTATGTAAATGAACTGATGCCTAAATAGCCACACCTGCTACATCTGTGATCTATCCACATAAATCCACCAATTAGCCACCTGGACCACTGAATCTGTTGGTCCTTCTGTTGGAACATCTTATACAGACATTTTCTCTTCTTCCCTGTCTCTGCTCTTTAAACATCCCCCCTTTACTGGGTTTCCCTCTTTCCCTCTATACTATTTCAGCACAGTGCTTCACATTGCTTTCCTCTGCTTCTGTTTTTTTCTGTTTTCCCCCTGGTCTTTTCAGCACATTCCCCCAGAGGGTCCCATCTTCCGCTTCTGAGGTGTCACTTCCACTGTCACTGTGGGATGATGGAACTGCACCCCCAGATGGTGCTGAGAGCCAGAAAGGGAGGCTCGCTTCCTTCCCTGTGTCTGGCAGGGTTTCCTGCTGTCTGGTTTGCAGGTCTCTTTAATACTCTAAAAGTGGCCCTCAGTACTATGGAGAGGGTTGATTTTCATGAATTTTTGTTTGTGCATCTGGAAAGGTTGTTTTGCAAGGCAAGAGAATGGGTAGTTCTTTACTAGACTGGAACCGCGCACTTTCCAAAGACCGGGGCTGTCATCATCTCAAATGTTTAATTATCTGCAGGGGAAGGGTCATCCCTGAAGCCAAGGTGACCTTTTTCCCCCTGCTGTGGTTGGAGTGTGTGGCCTTTCCAGTTTGCCTCTTGGGTTTCAGAAAACCAGTTCATTTTATATTAATTTGGGGTCTGTATATTTTGTGCATATTGTATGTATTTCCAGTTTGCGGTTATTAAGGAGTGTAACAGTTCTCCGGAGACTAAAGCGGTTGATCTAATTGAGTGTGAGACAGCAGATCCTCATCCTGCCTGTCCTTCAGAATACGGTGAGTAGGATTTCCTTCCTTATTAGATCTCTCCTCACCTTTGTACCAGCAGGAGCAGTGGCTGATAGAGGAGACAGAGAAATTAGAATTACATGTCTGGCCTGTTTAAAGCTGCTGTGCACAGCAGAAGCCGTGTTTGTATTGCTGTGAAGAGACCATTCAGTCCTTCACTTACCAGATTATTCATGAGAAATTACACTACAGCAGTGCTTTCACACTCATAAGAAGCCAGATGCTTCTTCTGATAGTAATAATATAATATTTTTGCATTTGTATAGAACTTCACAGGTTTGCTTCATAGCAAGTGAAGTTATGCCCATCATACTGATGGGGAATGTATATCCATGGAATGAGTCCTTATTCATTTAGGCAGGATAACTGAAATGGTGTGAGAAGCCCAGGTCTCCCCAGAAACCTTTTGCCCTGAGGCAGCAACTGCAGTTTTGCTTTTTGTGTTAAACGAGGTCTTTGACTGCTTGGGGATTGTTTGGTGCTTAAGCAAAAAAGATATGAATGAAGGAGTTGTGCCTCTCATACCTGGTGCAAAGGCAGCAGGCAGCACAGAAGCACACAACAGGCTTCCATGGCCCACAGGTTACTACCTGGGCCACTCTGAGTTTTAGGAAATGCTGCCTTATAGATGGCAACTGAATCTCCTAATTGCTCAGATGGTAAGAACTGATCGAAAAAGACTGATATCCTTAACCATTTGTCCTCTTTACCATATATACCTCCTAACTACAGAAATTACTAGAGAATGTGGTTTGCATCCATCATTTAGAAATATACAAAGACAAATGTCTGAGGATACTTGAATGGGCAGGCATCTCACAAGATTTTCCAAATTGCCCATCCTGTCCGTAGACATATGATGGGAAGTCACTTTATTCATCAGTAGAAAATATGCCTCACATTTACTTGGTTGGACTAATATTGTGAACATGTGTAGAACTGTATTGTCCAGTGAAGGAAGCCTGATGTTTCCCATTAGGAAGTTCTGTTTTCATTTATAGTTTTATCAGATGCAGCTATTGGAACAGAAATTTCCCATAACAGGTGTCTGATTTTTTCCTGGTTGAAAATTTTAGCAGAAGTGGTTCAACCATTTTAGACAAGACTGGTAAATAAACTGATGTCTTTTCTAGCATGTTAAAGAAAGTTCTTATACCATGCCAGTGAATAATTCTAAGATATTTTGACTTTGGAGCAGGGGCTTTAATTTTGCCAGGCAGGTAGTCTTCCTGTCCTGGGCATGCTTTTTCCCATTCTTATGTATTAAAACAGAAACCCATGAAATTTGCCTAGGACAAGTAATTTCTTAAACTCTGAAGCAAGTTCTTGACTTTGCCTCTTTTTTTTGTTCTCCCGACATGAGTTGGTTTTGTAATTTTCTGAACCCGATTCTGTGCTTCCTTTCATAGCTTTCCTCTCTCAAAGATGCCATTAGCTTTCTTTTAGCTTAGTTCTTGTGAAGCTTCTCAAATGGCTTTCAGTAATACATATTGGTTTTCTCCAGCGGAACAGCCTATAACATACGACAAAGCAGCAGAGACTTTGGCAGAAGAGAAGAAAGAACAAGGCTGTCAACAAGAGATTCCCGTTGGTGAGAAATCATGTCAGCCCATGGGAGCAGCAAAGGGCCCTCCCCAGGCTCCCTGGAGCATCCCCCCGAAGTCCCTGCTGGAAAGGGAGCCCTGCGAGCTTGCCCCAGCCAGCCTGCTGATGCAGCCAGACTAGAAGCAGCCTGGGTTTCAGTAGGAAAAGGAGGAAGGATGAAGTCAGTAGAGAATGGGAACTCATGAAACACTGAAGCAACCCTCATTTTTTCGTTAAAATCTGCTTTAGAAAAAACACAAATCAAAACAAAACACAGAAGTCCTTGCCACTCCTTCCCTGTCATCTCTGCTTGGAAGAATTACTGTGAGCAATGTATTAGCAATGAGTACTCTGTAAGTATCACTTTAAGGGTCACTGCTGCTAACTTCATTAACTGCCTGCTAAAAGGACATTGAGGGGAAAACAGCCAAGTGGGTGATTTATCAGAGATAAGTATTTTCTAATGGAGTTTTTTGCAAGTAGTGGTCTTTACACATACACAGAGTCCAGAAACTGCCTAGAAAATGGGCCACAAGGACAACTGCAGAGAAACTGGAATGGAAAATGATGCAGGAAAATGAGTTAAAAATGAATATTTTTATTAAAATACTGTTCATGGACACTTTAAGCCTCTCCCCAGCACTGCTGTAAGGCCACTGTAACTTCCTGGACTTCACCACAGATATTCTTGTATCTGCTTCTGTAAGTGAGCACCAAATGGGATCTTGTATTTCTCAGGTTTGGTGGGCTGGAGGATTGTTTGTGAGCATATGGTATTAATGATGGTCACATCTATGAAGTGAGAGGTAATGTTTGAGGGGAAAGGTGATTCTTCATTAAATTTTCCAGTCTACACTGGTCTTTCAGAGCGTTACTGGATTGTTTCTGGACTGAGGCAGTGGGCCTGAGTCTGCTTTCAGCCCTGCGAGGAAGCATGTGCTGGAGCTGTCCCTGCCTCACAGAAGTGTGTCTGACAGCAAACCCTGGTCCATTATATAGGAGTTAGTGTGGGGAAAGAAGTCCGGCCAGTTGATGCTCGAAAAGAACAGGAGAAGTGGGACAAACAAAAAACCACCTGGGTTTAGACTGACTTCCATGTAACTGATCTGTGCTGCCTGGTAAAATCCATGGGAACAATTGGAAAACAACACCATTTTTTCTTGTAACTGGCTTTCTAACAGCTACGGTTCCCTTCCAGTTATTTACTAAGAACTAACTCACTTATAAAGCTCTGTTGTATACAGAGTTATAGCTTAGTTGTTTATCAAGTGATTTTCACCACTAGTCTTGACTTCCTAAGGCTGTTTTCAGAACGTTTTGGAAGATATCTGGAAATCAGCTAGATTACTAATAATGTTTTCATTGTAGGGGATCTCTCAGTTCTCTGTCTTTGAAGCCTACTACTGTAACTATCAGACACCTTCTTTAAACTCCACTAGAGTGCCCACCACCTGCGTTCCTTGTAATTCATTAGCTGGATAATAGTAGCAAATGTTATTGATTTGTGTGTTTACCATCCTGTTTTCTGTTTTTTTTAGAATTCTGCCGGCAAGGTATGGGATGTTGTTGTTTGGTTACCAGCTCTGTAGGCCAGTGAAGGGAAAAAGTATTGAAAGGCTCTTACCTTTTGTCCAAAACAGTTACACACTTGTAACTTTGTGGAGTCGGTTCTGATTTATGTTGGTGTAAACAGTAAGAACGTTGAGCCCAAGGTGTCTGAATTACAAAAATTATAATGCTCTGTTGTGTAGAGGGTTGTCACTTATTTGTTTATCTTCTAAAGTGATTTTTGCTGGTGGTTTTGAATTGTTAAGTCTGTTTTCTAATCACATCAGTTCTGAATTCAGAATAAACTTGTAAAATAGGCGTTTCCAGAGGTTAGTTGGAACTAGTAGCAATGAAGATGCATCCTCTTTTGTGAATGGCAACAAGGTTACTTCCATGAAAAGAGAAGTGGTTGGGGAGAGTTGGCATATTAAACTGTGTTCAGGAGAGGACAACCACTGGGCTGAACCATTAGTATTTGATAGATTTGATTTTAAGTTCAGTATAGTTTAATTTCATTAACATTGTTAAAAGCATCTAGTTTGGATTCCCTGGTCTTTCACAGTTCATCACTGATCTTGTGGTTTTGATGGGAAGAGAGTCCAGCTATAAAGGCCCCGATTCAGTAAAGCATTTAATTTCCATGAGAGCTAGACAGTAAAATGACTTTGATCCCCATACTTTGATTATCTCTGGTGAAACATGTTTGCATGCTTAAAATCAAGGAGTTGTGTTGAATAACAGTCAACATTTAGTTGGAAGTTTCCCTGGTCAAAGGAAAAAAAGATTTGTAACTTTGACTCTTGTCTAAACAAAGGTGTTTCATACTCCTTACAAATTAGTTTCATATTCTACCCTGTGTTTTGTTTACTTTGCTTTCCTTCAGTCTAGGGATCTAATTTTAAATTTGATAGTGTTCTTTACAGAATAAGATAGGAAAATTAAGCTGATATGTTTTTGTAATTAGGGTGTTTTGAGTTTTAAATGTTTTCTAAACTCAGCTCTAAACTCAAAATAATCTTTAATGTAAAACCTTGAAATGATATTTCAACACAAATATAATATATTTGGTTTATTTGTATGTTTATAAAGCTATTGATTTATAAAATAAATTTTAAAAAATCCTTGGTGTCCCTCTTGTTTTAAAAGAAGAGAATGCAAAATTTTGGTTTCAGTTAACCCATGTCATGTTTGTTGATAGCTCCATTGGTTTCATACAGCCACAGTGTGTAATGTGTTGGTGCAGCATGTGCAGATATCATGGGTTTTTCATTCACCGCTCAGAGAATCTATACTAATAAGGATTATCTTCTGCAGCTCACAGGCAGATCCCAGCTTGAATATGGTAAGTTTTTATTTATTATTTTAGTTATACATTCCCATAAACCAGTAGAAGCCATGTCCTCCTTTTTTTGCACATTTAAATGACTGTTATGAATGTTGTTGCTTGTTTGTCTGGAAATATTACCCATGGCTTCACAATATGTTTTCAGACTGGTCTCCAAGATGTTATTCTTAGGCTTTACATGCACATCAGTTGAAGTGAAATGGTTGAATCCTGGAGGTTTCTCAGGTTTTTTGGCTAAACTTTTTTTCAGGTATGCAAAAAAAACCCCCAAACTTTTAAAATTATTAGACTTTCTGGGTATGTAGCTAACAGTATAGACCTCAAATCCTACTGGTATACTCTGACTTTTAAAAATGAAATTAACATGTGTTATATTAAGCTGTAAAAGAGGAATTTAGAAATGTAAGGGGAGAAAGCTTGACAAGGTCCAAAGTGACAAAACTATTGGTCAATTGTAAAAAGCAAGGGAGAAAATGAGTTTATTTAGTTTAGTAAACCCTGACTTTATTGAAGTTGACATTTCAATTCTCTAAAGCCATATTTTCATCGTGAACAAGTGAGGAATGATTCATGCTCATTCATAATGGACATAGGCAATGCAATGGTTCCTAGTCATAGGGATACATGACACATCTCATTTTAAGCCCCTTTTGCAGTCACTTGCAGCTTTGCAGAGGTTTATCTGTTCAGGCAAAAAAAATTCCATCCTGGTAATGTCTTTCAGGATGAAAATATTTAAAAAAAAAATCTAGGGAAAAAGGTAAAAAAAATTATTCAGAATGGATTAGGGAAATCTCTGTCTTGTTAACATATATTGTGTTTTTTTCTTATTGGGAGTCATTTTATCTCATGTTATTTCAGGGTGATGCCTACCCTCTTCCGTTAGTCTTCAGGACACACTTGGTGTTATTGCTTCACTCCCTGATAACTTGCCATCTTTATCTCTGTGCATGTGAAAAGGAAAGATGTTAGTGGCATTAGAAGCCCCCCCCCCGAGCCCCAGGAATGCACCCCAAACACAATCTGCAAGGGTGATAGCATATGTTGGCTCACGTTCCTCTGATCTTTTATTGAGACCGCTGTTTAATGCCAGTTTTGATGTGGACCAGGAACAGCCAACTTTGTGAAGACCATTCATCATGGGATTAACTTTCAGGCACTCCTCAGTACTGAGGCAGACTAGACTCAGACCAGTGAAAAGCCTTAGTCCCTTCTAACCAGCCACACGGGCCCTCAATATCCTGCAGTTTCAAGAGCTTGGAACTTGACTTTTGAGGCAACTGCTACAATAATAATCTATAAAGATGTAGAAGTGCTTCTATATTGGGATCCTGGCCACTATCGAGTCTTCCTCCTCAAGCCTAGGTATTACAACCACAATGTTTTCTCCCTGCCGACTTTCTTTTTGGAGGGGATGGTTCTGTCTTTTTCATTCTATTAGACACAAGCAGAAGCTAAACCAAAGCCTAGAAGGAATTTCTACACTTCATAGATCAAGACCCTGTAGTCTGGCAGCTACCTTTTTTCCAGGTAAGAAGTTAGGGTGTGTCTCCAAGATTAATTTTAAGAACATCTTCATCCTAGACCCTTGGTTTTGCTCTTATCCACTACTGCATGACACTGTTACCTTTCCAAGCATCCAGCTTTGTACCACATGCCTTCCAGGAGCTTCGGTTCACATGTAGTCTTGTCCACGTTACCCTTAATCTGGCCCCATCAGTCTGACCCTCACTGTATGCTCATTACAAGTTATGGGATCCTGTCTGCCAGCCAGTTTTCAGTCCATGCAGCAATATTGGCCTTACCCACATGGCCTTTATCCAGACCAATTTGGAATGGTGTTAAAAGTAAGTCAAAGACACCATGTAAGGGAATTTCTCACTTTTATGTGAGCAGCTACTGGAAACAGAGCAGCTGGACTTCTGGTCCATTAATAAGTCCCCTAGGTATGAATATGATGCAAACAATGAAAAGAATACTTAATAATTTATAAAAGAATTAGTTACTCGTGCCCATATAAAAAAGAGATTTATTAAAAAAAAACCCAACACTGTTTAATAGCTTCGTAGTTTCATGACCCAGCAATTTTTGAGCAGCTCTGGGCTTTTTATTGATTAAAGCCAACAAGTTTATGTGCTGTCTACAGAACAGTGTGCACGTTTTAATGGACATGATCTTTGTTAATATTGATTGCATGAAACAGTACATTTGAGTGTGATGTAATAAACTGAGAGAATGCACAGCTGACATTTCATTAGTCTATTAAGAGTAGTTAGTCATAACGTAAGAGTAGTGAAAGTGTGCTATATATAAATTTAAACTTTTTTCACTCAAGAAA